ACTCATTGAGAAGAAGAATACTGAGATAACAGAGATCATTATCGTTGACGTTAGAAGAGTACCGAGATAATTGATAGTGTTATTGTTGACGTTAAAGATTGGACTGAGATAACTTAAAGTAAGTTAAGATTATTGTTGATGTCCATGTCAATTCTTATTTTTTATTTTTTTATTAAGGAAGTTTGTTAAGTTGAAGATATTCGTATAGTTAAGTCTTCAGAAAAAGGGAATCATGTGCAAATATACGTATATTAGTATGATATTGTCATGTGACTTATTGGCTAAGGACACATGTGTCTTGGTTAGCAAGTGAAGACTTAATATAGAATAGTGGAGACAAGGGATTCTATCCTTTATCAATATATGACAATCCATGGTTTTACGCCTAATGGTTATGCCTTAATGGTCTATGGCTTATGGCAAACATGGGATCTGGTGGATTACCAGGTGTTGAGGATGTCAAGTGTTAGATGTGACTAGAGCTCAACAACAACTTCTTAAACATTAGTTCGTAGTCCTAAAATATCCCTTATAATTCAATTACCAGCGAACACTTATGGGGGATAAGGCTAATTATGGCCTGACAAAAGACTGGTCTCCATATTGTACCTCTAATATGCATTACCATTACTGGCAAAGAAAAATATACCCAAAACATGGAACTGGTCATACTACAAGTGTTGAAGTTACTTGATTAGGAAGTCAAGGATGCAGGAAGAATTAAGTTATAATTGCTTTACTGATTAGGAGAACAAGGGAACCAAGTTATATATATAAATACATGAAGGTATTCTTTGGGATACTTAGGTTCAGGTATAGGATATGGATAACGGATATCATATGGATATGGGATAAGACATATACCTTTACAGAAGTCATCAGATCATTCAATCATATTACCAGTAGAAGTCTTAAGTAGCGATGGCAAGAAGAAGATCAACCAGAGGATCCAGTAATACTAGAAGTGTAAGAGGAAGTTCTAGAGGAAGAGGAAACACAAGAGGAAGACCAAGAGTATCTAGTACCAATGCACCTGACGTTGATAGGTTAGCTGACCAACAACAAGAGTGCTGATACACTAACATCTTCACAAAATTACGTTGGACTTGTCTTAGAGTAGGTTTTCTGCTTCTTATTCCCCAAACTGCACCAGTATTTATCCGGTATTAGTTTCGATATCATCGAAGAATATATCACGTATTTAACCATTTTTAATCGAACAAACCTAAACTTTTATATTTACTAGAGTTGTAGATTCACATCAATAATGTACTTTCACATGTCTGAGGTCTTTAAAGCTATTTAAAATTTGGTGGTGATGTCAGAAGTATGCTTAATTCCCTAAATCATATAAACCTCAACAAGAAATTTTGAGCTGGGATTAAATGCACCTCCAACACAATAAAGAATCACTTATACATAAGGGATAGGGGTAAATGGTACTCAACTAAATCCCATAACGCTTGGTTAATCTAAATACTTTCAAATACACCCCAACATGACACGCTTTTGATATGCCTTGTGGTGATACAAGTACCGCTTTTGAACCTTGATAAATCATTCAATTTTGGCACAAATATCATCTAAAGCATTTTATCATTTTGAAGACATTGGATAAAGATATTCCAACAGTTAACTCTTTGATTTTAGCTAAAATAAATGTTTCGAAATTTTTGGATGTCATACCTGAAAAATCTATCTTCTTCAATTCGAAAGATATAAACGTCAGACTAAGTTCATTTGAAAGAGCAGATACGATTTAGTATATTCATAAGGTTTCTTTAGGTATTTCGGTATATACTAATTATTAAATGCGGTTGTCAACGATAAATACACAATAATTATATTAAGATATACATTTCCCACAAAAGAACTGTTTTTGCTTTAGAAACAACAGGTCAATTTATCACTACCCTTTTCGCGCTATTTGAATAATAGTATATCTCACTTGTTCCAGCCAATAGGCTTTCTTAATTTCCATTTTTGCTTAAACTCAAAACTTGACATTTTGAAATCTCAAAATTACAACATTAGAACAAAGAAGACAATACAATGAATGATTGAAATACCAAGTTAGGTGATTTAGATTATAAACAAAGAAGAACCCTAATTCTAAAGCTACAACATATAGTGTTTTAATATTCATTTATTCGCAAAAGTTTGTGAAATTTACCTTTTCAATATTAGTGATTACCGACACAAATAAATTTGACATTGAAACTTTCAGAATTTACAACAAGCCAATAACTTGTACACGACAAAAGCTACAAGATTTATCAATATAAATTAATCTACAGGTTTATTTAGATATGTTATACACAATTTTCATTCCTAAAGTTTTAACATCTTCACCAACAACAGCTTCTAAATCTTCTGATTGCCATAAGGAATCTTTTTTGAAGAAAACTTCAAATTTTTGATCCAAGACTGGAACAAATGGAACTGGTTTTTGAGCTGGGTTTTGACATAATAATAAGAAGTAATCAACATCTTGTTGGTTAATCAATTGAGTTTTAGTATCTGGATAAGCAGTGAAAACAGATTCAACAGCAGCATCTGGTTCGTTTAATTCATTGAATGATGATAAAACTGAAGTATTTTGTTTAGTAGCAAAACGTTCTTCAACACGACGTAAAAAAGAACCAACAAAGTTTCTTAATGAAACATCAATTCATCTCTTTGAACCTCTGACGTATAGTACTGCAACTTCAGACATTTGTTCATAAGCCAAATCATGTGAATCATAAACTTTAATATCAATGCTTGGGAACCAGGGTTTAATGATAATCTCATAATCAACATTTAATTTAGAGATAATATAATCTTCCATTTATCAAAAGCATTCTGTAATTTGTGGTTTGATCAACATAATTTTGAGTTTGATTTTTTGATAAATCACAAACTGATAACATTGGATGTGGAGCACCTTCACCATTTTCATCAGAATCTAATTTGCAACTAACATTCGGCTGTAATCCTCATTTTAAAAGACCTTGTTAATTGTTAGAAATAAATAAATATATCAATCACCATGTGCTTGAGCCCATCATATTAGAATATTATCAATGCTACAGCAATTGATGTGGGTGTTCGTAACGGTGATGATATATTTGTACGTTGAAACTTGATGTTGATCATTTTGTAGCTGGTATTCAATTAAACTTTTATAGCAGACTCAATTATTCGCGCCCACGACGGCCAGAGAAACCGTAAAGAAATCTTATCTACGTTTCTCCAGACTTTTCGTTTACAACAATAGCAAGATAATCATCATGGTCAATAAAACCAGCCAGGCTAAACATAAAAGGTCCACAAAAGGCTGCTCAGAATGCCGTATTAAAAGGAAAGCATGTGATGAATTGAAACCCAATTGCTCCAGGTGCAAAATCAAAGGTGTAAAATGTATTTATAAAGTCAACCTAAGGTTTAGGGATGATTCATCGAATAAACAAATCGCATTTGGGAGAGAGGGTGTATGGTCCAAAAGTAAAGCTAGTATTCAAACTTCAGAAGACCTTTCCAAAATGGCATTTAACCTGGCTTATCTTCATAAGACCAATTTCAAAGGGAATTTACACTTCATAAACACATCAAATACCTTATATGACTTTACAATGACAAATTTATCAAAGAATTACTTTTCAATGACATTTAATACCCAAATAGGTGATTCGTCTGCAACACAATATGCATTATCATATTTCAAGGATAATGTCTCAACAATTTTCAATCCTCTAAGTCTTGAAGGTGATGGAACATTGGATTTTGGGTCAATAGTTCAATATGTGAATCACGGTTGTATACATTTGTTTTATCTATTAATAGCTATTGGGAGTTGTCACTTAGCCAAATCAAACAAGTATTGGCAACTTCAAGCCAAAATTTATAGAGCTGCAGCACATCAAGAGTTCATTAAAAGAACAAGTTCAGATACTAAAACTTCAGAAATTCTTCTTTATACATTATTATTATGTTTGTTCGATTTGGCCAATAAATGTGATGATCACTGGTCAATAAGAATTAATACGGCAAAATGGCTTATTGAGAATAACAACGAATCAAATGTTGATGATTATACAGTTGAAAATAGAATTTTGAGGTTTAGTGATGATTTCTTTAGTTATCAAGAGACAATGGGGAGAACTGCATGTCGGAATACTTCTATTTTCAGTATAGAAGATTGGGAAAATAATGACTTGATGATTCCATGGATGGGATGTAAAAAAAGTCTAGTTAGTATTTTATCAGATATAACAGACTTGTCTTTTGAAAAACGGAATATCAATGTACATTCAAATGAGTTTCAAGGTATGGTTAGCAAACTTGAAATGAAATTAAACAATTACAATGTCAGTACTGGAAACTGGCTTTTTAACATTGGTTGCATTTGTAAAATCAATGCTACCAAGATTTATCTTAATTGTTCACTTCTAAATTATACACCAAACTCTTCCCTTATAAAAGAACTTGTTAAACATTTGGCTAATGATTTGAAAACATTGATAATCTATAATGGAGTTAATTGGCATTTTTTATTATGGCCATTATTCATAATGTGTTGTGAAATTGACCCTTATGATGAAGATTGTGAATATCTGAGGAAACTTTCCCTGGAAATGTTTGAAATTTTAAAAGAGAAAAATCTTGGTAATACAGAAAGAATCAAAAATTTAATAATTAAGATTTGGTGTGATCGAGATTTACATAAATCTAAGAATTTTCCAAATGATTGGGAAATGTATATTTCTGACAAAAGGTTAAATTTATCATTGGCTTAAATCCATGATTTAATATATTTCAAATCACTAGCAGTGTTTGTGCTTCCATGTCTATCATCAGTTCTATCTTTTGTAGTTTCAGGTCTCCATTTCCAATGATTGAAAAAATCACGATTAACATGGTTTCTCCCCTTTACAACTAATTCTGAAATATATTTACCCACGATTGGCATGAATTTAAAACCATGTCCTGAATCACCAGTTGCAACAACTAAACTTCCATTATAATCAGGATGTTCATCAATTAAAAAAAATCTATTTGGTGTATCAGTACACCAACAAATTCTAGATTTAACAAATTTTTTAGTAGCAAGTTTTGGTAAAGTTTGTTTCAATAAATCACGTATAGCAACCTCTGCCTCTAATGGGATAGAATCTTTGGAAATTGGAATTGAAGATTCAGCATTACTTTTACCATCTTGGTAATTTGTATAACCTGGGAATTCATTACAAATTTTCACTTCATTATTTGCATCTGCTTCGAAAAAAAACCCCAAATCATAATTCAAAAGAACTGGTGTATTTTTCAAGTCCTCAACCTCTTTATCATTTAGTTTTATATGAGCCAAAGTCCAGCATTTGGCAAGCATTTGATCTTCAAAATTGAAAAATTTAATTGATGAAGCACCAGCAGAAATAATTAATTTATTTGAATCTATCTTTTGACCTTGTTTAGTTTGACACCCAATAACTAATCCATTTTGTTTTAAAATAGTTTCAACTTCACCTATAATAACTTTACCCCCTAATGCTAAAAACTCTTTAGCTGTTGATATCAATGCATTTTTAGCATGTGCCCAACCACAATCATCTTTTTGATAGAAGCCTTTCCAATTTGGTAATGTACCTTCTAATGATGGAATTATTTTTCTAAAATCAGCTGGAGAAGTGATTTCATCCATTGGGTTTCTTCCAGAATTGATTCTTCTTTCATTAAGATTAATCAATTCTTCATATGAACTTTTTTCAACTGAACAATAAACAATTCCAACATCATGGAAATGTTCTTTGAAAACATCATCTTCCTTCCACAATTGTAAGGCTTCTTTAGCTAGAGAGTCATTGAATCTATCAGTGTATGAAGATTGTATAATCTTGTTGATGTCATTAGCAGCTGATATCTTTGATGGTATTTCATAAGCATCAACCACAGTAACGTTTTGATAATGTTGACGTTTCAACCAAAGTGCTGTACTTAAACCAAAAGTACCACCACCAACTATAACAATCTTCGAATTTAAATCAAGTGTCATTATTTTACACTAAATGTATAATTAATTGATCATGATGGCAAAGCTTTACTAAGATCTGACCTAGGAACCCCATGATTCTTATATAGATTGTACTTATCAGTTCATTTGATGGAAGGACCTTCCTTTGTTTTTTTTTTTTTTTTTGATTCGCTCAAGATCTCGCCGATAAAAGACATAAACATACTGATTTGACTACAATTATTAATCAACTCTTTCAAAATTGTATAAACATTCTACTTAAATCTAATTCCAAGTATCAAACCCAAAATATCCCTTCTCTGGCATTTTTAAATATGGAGTACCTAATCCATCAGCTGTGTCATTGTATATAGTATTTCCCTTCCAATTTAAACTGATTCCAGGGTATGATAATGCAAAAAATATAATAATCCCACCAAGAGCTAATCCAACGTCTAACCCACAACTTAATACATAAAGATATTTTGACCACCACTGACTATACTTTTTACGAATGTAATAATTAAATATAACACCAACTAAGACCCAAGTTGTATAATTAATCCCTGTTGCTGGTGGGAAATTTCCTAAACATCCAAAAATAACAACCCAATTCAAGTTTTTCAATATCTTATTCTCTGGAAATTTCTTCATTAAGCAATAGGTAATTATTGTAACAACTGGTCCAATCCAAAATAAATGTAAAAGTCCACCATAAATGGTGCTAGGCCCAAAAATTCTTTTCGGTCCAGCAGCACCCCATACAACGCTAGCTGCAAAATTAACTCTTCCTTGTGGACATGTAAAATTATCAACTTGATCACTAGTACAGATACCTTCAACATTATTCAACATGAAAATCAATACACCAACTTGAACCAATGCACCAATTGTACAGGCAATCAATTGACCAAAGAATATGGTTCTTTTAGGGATTTTCATATAATATCCTAATTTCATATCTGAAGAAAATGAAAGTGCTTGTAATACACCTGTATAGGCATAAAATTTAAAGGTTAATGATACGATTGGTAATCCTGGTAATAAATATCCTGATAGAAGTTGAACCAACACAGTCATATTATTTGTATTTATATTAGTAGCACCATAAACAAGTCCAATTGGTAAAATGAATAAAATAACCAAAACGAAAGCTAAAAAAATTCCCCAAATAGGCCATTGAGTATGATAAACTTCCATTATAGTACAAGTAATTCCAAACACAACAACGGATAACAAAACATACCACCATTTAGGAACTGAAGGATATTCATCCATCAATCTAACATGAATGTCTTTTTTCAACCTTCCTTTGAATCCATTATAAATATCCTTTCCATGATACAATATGGCATAAATTGGACCACAAGTTAAGACTGCATATGAAGAACCATAAGCGATTGCATATGCAACTGCAAGATATGGAGGTGAGTAGTTTTGATATGCTTCAAGATCTAAACGGCCATTACTATCAATTATTCTTGTCCCATTATATTCATTACCCATGTTATCAAAAACATTAGAAGAACTTATAGGTAAGTATGCACTGAAAAATGCATTTTTATAATATAATAAAGGTGTCAAAAACATGATGAAAAACGCAACACCAACCAATGCATTTAATTGAGCATATAATGGTGTAACTAATGGTGATCCATTGTAAGCAATTTGTGCCCAATCAAAAGTCAAGGGGAAAAATCCTAAACCTTGAACTTGACCGAAAAGTTGATTAACAACAACATTATTTGGAGCAGCCCAACAAATGAATGTAAAATAAGATAATCCAGTGAAAATATAACCTGGAAGCCAATAATAAGCGAATGAACTTAAGAAAACAATCATGAAAAATCTTAATCTTGTTATTTTCCAACCATTTGCTAATTTATTTTCTTTGGAATGAATAGATTTAAATAATGCAACATTAGCTAAAGTAGTTGGCCAATATATAGCACTTGGTTTCACCAAGAAATTATCAAATAAACCTGCAACACCTAAACCAAATAATTGACATGTTAATACTAATAAAACTTGATAAGCAGGTTTTGCTTCAATACCATAAAAGGCAACTTGAGCTTGAATAACATCAGTTGCATAAGATGAAGTGAATGAAATATTTGCCATGATTGTAATCATTGCATGTTCCTTATAATTGAATTTTCTATCAGGATTTATAGTAAATTCACCCAAATATTTTCCTAAATTTATTGTTTTCAAAGGTAAAATTGAAGCTAAAAATTGACCAATAGGATAAACAACAAGTTGACAAACTAAAGCAGATATAGTAACACTTGGATATCTCATTGAAAAAAATTGATTAACACCAGATCCTATAATTGTACTAATTATACCTAATACCCACATTCTTAAAGTATTTACAGGTAAATTTGGATCATCAGTTTTAGAAACTATAGCTCTAACTTCAGGTATTGGAGAATCATCAGCATCTTCATCTAATATTTCATTAACATCAAAATCTTCAAAAACTTCCCCAATTTCACCAAGTGGTTCAATATCAAATGTAGATTGTTTTTCTGTCTTAGTATTAGAGAATACCTGGTTTAATTCAATAACATCATCTTTAGAAGATGAAGATGATATATGTCTCTTCATCATGATGTGCAAACGCTTTCTAATGACAAGAACATTGTACTAAGTATAACTGAAGATGACAATAAAGGATTTTCAACATATAAATAGGGTATGGGTCATACCTTATCAAACACCCAAACAATCAACGTATAACATTGAAATCGATGGAAGCACCTTCCAATTTTCAGATTTTCCATTTCGCACCAAATTCAAATGATTTGATTTCGGGATATTAATTGTCGGCGATAATTGGATCAGTGATAAGTGATAAGCTTTAATTTTGCATAATCTTGTTTCTTGTCTTTCCTTGGAACTTTGAAACAAAGACCATATTTATTGTTTTGTTTTTGAGTCCTCGTATGTGCTATGATCTTTGAAATTGATAGTTTGAATCTGGGTAATATGTAATCTGTAATATAGTCGATAGTCGATAAGATCTAATCTTTGCTTAATAGCTGTCGTATAACTTTATAAATTCGCGGGAAATTTTGACTTATATTATTCGAACTTCAATTAAAGGGGTATTATATATGAGTTATCAGATAAATAAATAGTTTATTATAACCTTTTTGAGCCTTATCTCTAAACATGTACTCAAATCTTTAAGAACTAGATGTTCATTCGATCAAAATGCTAATTTTTCAATTTGATAAAATAGTTCACATGGTGTTACAATAATTTATTTTCAAAATCCATCAGTTCAAAAACTTCAAAATTTGAAACTTTGAATCCGACCTTTTAACTAATACCAAAAGAAAGCTAGTTTGATTTTATGATAATAAATAGCTTTAAAGAGCAAAATATTGGAAATTTAATACTAGATTTTAGAGCATTTATTAAAATAGGTGATAAAATCGTGCCCGTAACAAATCAGTTGCTTTCAATATACAAAAAGAACAACTACACGAATTAAAGTCTTTCTGAATAAAATCAGGTAAATATAATTGTAAATCATCAATCAAGAGAGTAACAATATACTATGTGAACATACTGCTTGGCGATAAATCATAATCAATCAGGCCATATTCAAAGCTTCAAAATTAAGTAATAAGCAGCACAGCATAATTTAAGCCACAGTGATAAACTATGGCCCTTAATATAAATTAACATTTTATTTTATTAAGTACGTTAAAATATTCACGTGTATATATATATAGCGGTCTTTTCAAGGCTTCAATATAGATCTTATAAAATGGATAACAATAAAATAGTATTAAACAATGACTGAGGAAAAACTTCAAGAACCAAGTGAAATCAATTCAATTGATCATAGTTCATCAGAAACTATTTTGAAACCTCAAGACGTTTTCAAGACTAATTTACCAGAAAATGAAATATTACAAGAAGTAAACTCAATTATAATTGATAATGACTTGGAAGATTATAGAAATTTAATTACAAGAGGTGCATTATTAGCAAATAATCCAAATTTAATTGATAATGGTGATTATACCCAGGATGAACAAAAATCAATCAAGAGGGAGACAACTCATCCAATTTGGTCATTATCATTCCATATGATCTTAGCTGCATTAACAACTTCATTTGCTGCTGTTAATTTTGGTATGGATGAATCTGCAGTTGGTGGTGCTCAATTACAATATAACGTACAATTTGGTATTAAAGATGTGAATTTACAAGGATTTGTTGTTGCAGCACCTTATTTAGCTGCTGCAATAATTGGATGTCCATTAACCGTGGTTTTAAATAATAAATATGGTAGGAAATGGATCATATTATTAAGTTGTTTTATTGGATTTAGTGGATCTCTTTGGCAAGCTTTTGCAAATGGTACTGCAGCTTTATTAATTGGTAGATTATATTTAGGTATTGGAATGGGGTTAAATTCTGCTACTGTTCCAATATATACAGCTGAATGTTCACCTGCAGTCTCAAGAGGTGCAATTTTAATGTTATGGCAAACTTTTATTGCATTTGGTGTATGTTTAGGCTCAGTTTTCAATAGAGCTTTTGTTGAAATCAATGGATCATTATCATGGAGATTAATGATTGGTTCATCATGTGTTGCACCTGTGATTTGTGGGGCTTTAGTTTTATTACCACCAGAAAGTCCAAGATGGCTTATTAGTCAAAATAGAGTTAAAGATTCATTTGAATCGATTATCAAATTAAGATCTTCTAAAATATCAGGGTCAAAAGATTTCTATATTTTATTTGAATCATTAAAATTTGAAAATCAATTGAAAATTGATGATACTACATTATTCAAACAGTTTGTTGATTTATTTAAATATAAACGTAATAGATTTGCCTTATGGGTTTCATTTTTAGGTATTTTCGGTCAACAATATGGTGGTGTAAATATTCTTGTTAATTATACACCAACAATTTTAACAAGTGCAGGTGTTGATTCAATTACAGCAATTGCCGGGTCAATTGGTATTGGTGGTGGTTGCTTTTTAGCAACTTTTTTATCAACTCAATTAATTGATAGATTTGGTAGACGTAAAATGTTAATTTATACATTACCAGTTGAAGGTTTATGTTTATTTTGGTTAGGTGGAATTTTAAATATTGAAAATAATAATATTAGATTAGGTTTAGGATTAACTGCAATGTATGTATTTGTGTTTTTCTATGGTTGGGGTATTGGACCTGTTTCATTTACATTAGTTGCAGAAACACCAGCTTTACCAGTTAGAGCTGCTCATAGTGCATTATTAATGGGTGTTAATTGGTTATTATGTTTTTGTTTAAGTATGACATGGCCCAAGATGAGTTCTACAATGACAACTTCAGGTGGGTTATATTTTTATGGTGCATGGAATTTTATATTAGCAATTCTAGTATTTTTTTATTTACCAGAGACAAAACGTTTTACATTGGAAGAATTAGATGAAATATTTAAAATTGGTGCAACTAATTTTGCCACAAGGAAACTACATGGATTATTTCATAAAAATTAACCGTTAATTTAATATAAAGATATAATTTCAAGACCAGCTTATATGTTGAATGTAATCAGCATCATTAACCTAGTTTTTGTTACCACCTTGTAAGAAATCACCAGCTTTTTGAGTAGCAGATTTAGCATCTTCTGGTTGGAAATTTTTTTGTAAATCATCAGTTTTACCAGTTAAGGCTTCTTTGGCTTGTTCTAAGTATGATTTTTGATCATCTGGTTTGACAGCTTCTTTAGCTTTATCAGTGAAATCTTTTCTACCTAAGTCAGACATATTGTAATTGTTGTTTTTTGTTTTATCTTTGAGATATAGATATAGAAAGAATAGATTAGATTTAGTTTATACTTGAGGAAAACCTTCTCCTTATATACACATTTTTTTTTGGTTTCAAGCAACATTGGGTTTTAGTGTTTTTGTTAACAATTAGCAATGTTGCTTTGATATATAGCAAAATAATAACAATAGTACCCAGATCCGGGGTTAACAAAAAATGCGTCATTTCTACATAGTAAACATCAGATCATCAGGTACACATAAAATTAGTTTAATAATAATCTATTTACTGCTTGCTTTAGTGCATTGTTAATTACCTCATTACGTTCATTACTAGTAAAAACATTTGCTGGTGTTGTTGATGACTGGGTTAATGATGTCAATAAACTTCCAGCTAATGCATCACCAGCTCCAGTAACATTTGAGATTTGTTGATCTAATTTTATTGCTTCGTAATGTTCAAATAATATACCAATCTTGTGACCTTTAAATTCTTTTGTTGTAGACGCAATTGATAATTTGGCATTGGAATTTAGTTGAACTTCATCTTCATAAATTGAAACTAAGTAAACACCATTGGACCCATCTTTAATAATTAATGTCTTGATAAATGGTAATAGACTAATTGCTGATTGGAATATACCTTCAAATAATAATTTTTTATAGAAAGGATCTCTTAAGGATGCAGCTTCTAATTTAGATCTAATTGATTTATCAACACTTAATGCATCAATAACTGGGAACCAATCATTTAATTCAAATTTCCCTAAATCTTCTAATGATTCATAAATATATTTCAATTCATTAATTGTTGGTGTTGCTAATTCAATTGAATTATTTGGGAAAACTGACATCTTCAATTCAGATATTTTTTTAGATTTATGAGCAGATGTTGGTTCAAATATTAATTTAAATTTTAATTCTGCACTTAATTCAATTAAAAATTGCATTGTTTTAGTAGAAATATTTGCATCAAATAACACAATTCTCGGTTTGGAATTTTTAATTTCATTTTCAATATGTTCAATTGGTAAGTTATTTTCCACAATTCCCATATCAGCAGCTGCAATTATTAATTCACCATCATTATCATGATGAGAAATATATTGTGAAGTTGTTGAATTTTCAGCAATATGTATAGCATTGTGTTTTGTCCTTAAACTATTTATTAGTGATTTACCTTGAATATCATCACCAACAACTGAAATGAATTTTAATGACGAATTACCAAGTTTTGTTGATTCCAAAGCAACATTATAACCAACACCACCTATGGAAGATGTTATTTTAGAAGGATTTGAATCTCTCAACAATGCAGGTGATTCAGTTTTACAATATGTATCTAATGCAACTGAACCTATAACAATTGAATCAATCTGTTGGGAATTCTTTTCAGTACTTTTTGGTTTTGGGATAATTGGTGGTTGATATGTGAAATTTTTGGATGTATTATTTAATTTACTATATTCAATTGCAATTTCTGTAGCAGATCTAGCATTATTTAATACAAATTCAATATTTGATTTAACACTTTCACCTTTAGTTGCTTGTGCAATTTTACTTAATAAAAATGGAGTTAATTGTTTACCCTTTATACCCTTGGCTAAAGCTTCATCATTTGCTTGATTTATAATTCCATTAATAAATGTACTATCTAATGCAATTTCTTCTGGTGGTGGTATACAAAATAAAAAACCATTATTTAATTTTAATAAATCACCTTGATGAATAATATCAGCAGCTTGTTTAAAATTTTGGAAATTATATGGTGATGATACACTTGAATCTCTAGTATAAAAACCTGGAATATTTGTACCACTAGAGCCTAATGTACCAACAAATACACCTTTTGTTTCAAGATATTCTATAGTTCTTTCAATATCTAAAATTGATTTTGGTCCAGCACAAACCACTGCAACTGAAGTTTTACTTAATTCATCTAAATCTGCACTTATATCCATTGAATTTTCACCATCTCTATGAACACCACCAAGTCCACCAGTAGCAAAGATTTTAATACCAGCTCTTTCAGATAAAATCATTGTACCACTAATTGTTGTACCACCATTTAATTTTTGTGAGACAACATAAGGGATATCTCTTCTTGAAACTTTTGTTGCATTTGAAGTTGATGAAGCTAATGATTCTAATTCATTATAGTTTAAACCAACTTTTGGTATACCATTAATGAAAGCAGTTGTTGCAGGAATTGCACCTTTTAATCTAATTTCTTTTTCAACTTGTTGAGCCATATTTAAATTTTGTGGGAATGGTAAACCATGGGTAATAATTGTACTTTCCAATGAAACAATTGATTTATTTTCAACAAGAGCTTGTTGAATTTCTTCAGAGATTTTCAATGTGGAATAACATCGTTTACCTATAGGTCTTAAACTTCTTAACATATTGTATGGTACGAACTTTGTTGATATGAGTGATAGTAATTTTTCTACGTTGGTATATTTTTTTTTTTGATATCACTAGCGCGAAAAAAAATCTCATATATTCAAATATCAAGCTTCAAATCACTTTAATCTATAAAGTTTTTTCACTTAATTCAATTTTATATTCATCTTTCAAGACTTTGATGATTGGATCATTAATTTCTGGAGTATATGGAGCAATTAAACCCTTTTTAACAGGTAATTTATCATCCAAGATCAATTGAGAAGCAACAGCAGCTGGAGTACCAACTAATTTAGCCATTGAACTATAACCAGTACCAGTTGGAGCACCATAATCAACTAAAGTTGAAGTACGAGTTTCTTCAGAACCATCTTTATTGATAACACCAAATTTATGTTGTAAAACTAATAAATCTCTTTCACCTTCAGCATATTGTAATAATTCTTCAAATCTTGAACATAAAGTATCTAAAGGATTACCCTTTGGATCAATTTCAGTTTCACCTAATAAACCAAACCAATTGAATCCATCAATAATGGTTTTTTTTTGTTCATCAGAGGCAAATTTAGTTTTACCTTCAATAGCTTTAACTAAATCTTCTTCTTTAGTAGAATCAGCATTTAAATAAGATTTTAAAGCTTCAGCCCATGATTGTTTCTTGGTGAAAATATCATTTTCATCATCTTTTAATAAACCTAAATCAACTAAAACTTTAATAAATTCAGGGAAACCTTCAAAACGTAAAGTACCACGAATAACAGTTTCAGCTTCTGGGATTTTATAAAATTCTTTGAAAGGTGTTGAATCTCTATTTGGATAAGCAACAAGACCTCTTTCAGTAAATTCATTAATTTTGTAAGGACCAGTGTAACCCATTAATTCAGGACCATCAACTTCAACTTTTTCACCATCTTTGAAAAAAGTTGCAGAATTTCTTAAAGCTAATAAAACACCTCTTGCACTCCAACTGAATTTATAACCTAAAGGATTAGTTGCATCTTGAGGAGCTGGTAACCCACCACAATAAGAAATGAAAGATTTAACTTTACCACCTTCTTTATGGATTTGATCAATGGCTTTAACAGCATATAAATGATCTAAACCTGGATCAACACCAATTTCATTGAAAACAATGATACCAGCTTCATTAATTTGATCTTCTAATTCTCTTAAAGCTGGTGAGATATAAGAAGTTGTCAAGACGTTTTTCTTGTTTTTAATTGCAGATTTAACAACAGTAGCATGATAAATGTATGGAATTAAAGAAATGATTAAATCATGATCAGAAACAGCAGCATCTAAATCAGCTTCTTTGGAAACATCAAGAGAGATAGCAGTTGAATCTTCACCAGCTAAGGCTTTAGCTTTTTCTAAAGTTCTACAAGCAACAGTAACTTGAACACCTTCAGTTTTAGCTAAGATATCAACAGTTGGTTTAGCAACGAAACCAGAACCTAATAATAAGACTTTTCTGTGGTATAATTGTTAGTTTAAAGGTCAATTGAACGATATGTTGAGTACTTACTTGACCATTTTGAGATGATTAGTATCAATTGAATATGAATTGAGTATTAATTGAGTGAGTATAATTGAATTAAGGAAGATGGAATTATCAAATATTCGTCGACCTTTAAGAGTCACCACAGACAGCCGGTAAGCGCACCAGTCAATCCGTTATCGCTAACCATAACCATTATAACAATCCACTATCAACTATTACTATTACTATCAATTGTAATGTGTATACTCTATGGATTGTTTCTGTATATACTCACAATATTATCAATACTCTCTGCCTAATAGTCTCTACCCTCTGACCACCTCTACCCTCTGTCAACCCCTAATCAATTCCCATTAACACTGTGTTCACCCCATCGCTTCCTAACCACCCGCCAAAATTCTCAGTATAAAAATTTTTCTTTCAACCTTTTTTACTCACTTTTATATTACCACTTCTTTCTTCCTTTCTTTAATGAATTAACTGGGAATTTTATCTCTTTGGTCGTGCCATCAACTAGACGATGAAAGTAAACGAACCCCACAGAAGGAATCCGTGTTCTTGCAGAATGTATGGTTGGCCCAATGACTTGATTGTTCATTATCACTTAGCTACTAAACTTTTTGAAGAACTCGTACATACAATTGATTTAATAGATAATGATTTGATTTCAAATTTAATCGTAGAATATTATAGTAAAATGCAATATATGGTCAACTGATAACATAGAATATCATTATTGATACTTCTTATACCATAAATTACTAGTTTACCACACGATTTATGGAAAATCTGTGATTGTTCAGTACAAAAGTTCATAATTTTCAGTACAAAAGTTCATAATTCCTCGAATCGCTCAACGTTGGGAAAAAGAAAAAGTAGATCTCTTTTCATGTAAAAAAAGTTTTGACATGACACCAAAATAATACCCATAAAGCTCAACCCATCTTCATCAATATTCATGTCCACATACCTTCCTTCCTCCAAAGAGGAAACAAAATTCATTCCAAGAAACTTATCTTGGAAACTACGGTTCAAAAAAACTTGGAACTTATATCATAAATTTTTACCAATATTATATTTATCATGTTTATTATTTGGTGGGTTTGTCTACATCTCCAAAAAAACAAATGGAATACATTCAAATGATCTTTCTATAGATAACTTCCAATTTGATGATACTTATCAATCAAATAATGATCAATTAGATTTAGATCAACAAGCTTTAACCAACTTGAAAAAACCAACAATTTTTGAAGAATTCCCTTATGAATCAAAAGATTTAACAATGTTACCAATTGCTCCATATGAACATTTACAAGATAAATTAGATTTTAGATCAACAATGACTTTTTATTTAGAAGTTATTAAAAATTATGTTGCTAAATCAACTTCTGGTTCAAATTCTCAACCTCCTCCTACATTTAGTTTTAATTGGAAAGATTTTGTTGATTTAAATATTTTAAAACCTTTATTACAAGAAAAACCAAATTGTTTCCGTATTGGTGCTTTGGGTGCAACTTCAAGAATTCCATGGGAAAATTGTCTTGATGAACCAAGAAATTTAGGTTTTGTTTTCATAAATCCTTCATTATATCCTGAAAGTGAATTTAGATTATCAATTAGAGGAAAATCTTATCTTTATACTGCAGCTCCATTACCAAATAAATTAATTTTCCTTGCTGGTGAATTAGCTTTTGTTACAAGAGTTAACAAAAGAGCAAGTTTAGATGAAGGTACAATGATTGATGAATATTTACAAAGAAAATTAAAAGAAAATCCTGGGTCCACTCAAGAGAAAATTATAAGAACTCCAATAAATCCAAGTGATGAAATTGATGGTATCTCTCAAGCTTTAAAACGTGATTTAATAAATTTTAATGTTGAGAAATCCCTTCATGTTAATGTTGATGACAATTCATTCTCATTACCAACAACCAAAGAAAATAAAGAAAAATCCATGTTAGCAAATGCTGCAAGACATAATGATGATCGTCATTTTAGAAATGTCTTGATAAAATCAAAAGATGGTCAATGGGAATCTGAAGAACAATATGATTGGAGATTTTTCAATAAAAAATTAAATAATTTAAACAAGAAAAAATCTTTACATAGTATTGTGGAAAATTATTTACAATTTTGTACAAATTTAGGTATAACAACTTGGTTATCTGAAGAATCTTTAACTTCATGGAATTATAATGGTTTAATTGGTCCATGGGAAGATACTATTAGATTTGAATTACCTGCATCTGATGTATCAAGAATTGCCAACTCATTTAATTATTCATTAATAATTTCTGATCCAAAAAATGGTACTGGAAATTATTTAATTGATATTTCCCCTTGGTTCTTGGAAAGAGCAAGATATAATGATGGTGGTGCTGCACCAGACCCAGCAGATGGTAGAATTATTGATACACATACAGGTGTGTATATTGAATTAATTGGTGTTATAAATGCACCAAGAATCCCAAAAGATTTTGCTGCCCAACATAAAAGTGAAAAAGTTTCTGAATATGTTGTTACTGGTAGAGGTAATTTTTGGCATTTACCTTCATTATTACCATTAAATAAAACTCTTTACGAGGGAAAAATTGCAAATGTCCCCAAGACAATACCTGAACAATATCTTGAACCACCAATTGAATATCATTATAAAGATCATTTAAGATTATTTGTTGATTCTAAAAAATGTACTTATGTCCCTGAAGAGGAAAAAAATAAATTTGATCAAACTTATATTGGTTGTTGTCATGATGATTTAATTTGGAAAGATTATAATTCAACAAAATTTGCAACTCAAAAATTTTTACAAATTAAAGGTCAACCAATTAATGTTTTAGATGAAACTGATATTAATTTCTAAAACTACATTTTAATAGATTTTTATAATACATTCATTACGTTACGTTAATATTTCTTTGTACAATGACTTTCAAGGTGATTATATTGCAATACCACGACCACCTTCATCCCAACTATATGCTCTAAGAGCATCTTTTCTTTTCCTTGTATTTTCTTTAAATTTATCAAGATAATCTGTTAATAATAATAAATTTTCACAATCTTTTATACTTGAAATTAATTGATTTCTAACCATTTTTAAATAATCCAGTGGGAATGTTGTCATAACTGCTTCCATACCACGAACTAATACTTTAACATAATATTTATATCTATTAATTTCAGTTATTGTATTATTATCTGTACCATTAATATCATTCAACATTGATAATATAGTTATACCAAATAAAAAGAGATAAAAACTGAAAATAAATGGATATCTATGTAAATCTTCATCTAATTTCATAATATCTTCCAAGACTTGAACACATTGTGCAATTCTAGAAATTTGAACATCTGCTGTACTATTTGAAAACCCTGCTAATACACCCCAACCTTGAGTATCTTCTAATATAAATGTTAAAACTAAATTTATATATCTTGCATATGACATATCCATACTATAAGAATTTTCCTTTTCAGGGCATGATGCTGTATGAGCATTTAATTCATTTTTAACTATAGCATCTAAATTTTGATTTGCTAATTTAATTAATTCATCTCTTAATTGTGAATTTTTTTGTTGATCAGCATGAGTATTATATAAAGCTTTATATTCAACAAATATACCTGTTAGACGTAATAATGGTAATGACCAACCATAAATCCCATCAGATACTGTACCAAATCTTATAGATCTAACTCTTTTAGGATCAAATTCTGCAGGTTGTAACATATTATCAAAATGAACCCAATTAGATTCATCACCAGGTAAATGTAATTGTGAACATTCTTCATCTTTAATAATTGTATTTCTATTAAAACAAAAAGCAGTCATTCTATCCAATATATAAAGCCCCCACCATGCACGTCTTTTTTCTTCTTTAATTTCCTCTGTATCATTAGGATTTTCTGTTCTTAAATTTAATGCAACACCAAATTCATAACCAACTTCCCACCAATAAACAGAATCAATTGGATAAGATAACCAAGGCATTAAAAATCCTAAATGAACTGTAACAATGAAATCATCTAATGTAACATCTTCTAATTTAGAAGGTAATTGATTTTGAATAACTTCATACATTCTTTTACATAAAGAAGCTCTTGAACTTCCAGTAAAGAATCGATTATCAACTTGAACTGCACTTGATAATAATATAGCTAATAATAAATTTGATTTAGTTGGTCTTCTACTTGCCAGCATTGTTGGATGTCTTAAAATTGAAAAAACTTTTGAAGCTGGTGGATAAAATTCATCAAAATAAAAATCAAATAATTCATCTGCAGCTTCAAATGGTAAACCAACTTGAATTAATTCATTTGATATTGTTTCAAGTATCTTATATTTTGTTGAACCTAATTGGAAATCACCATTAATTGAAGCTGTGGAATTACTTCTTGAAGATTGTGATAATATAAATGAAGATCTTGAAGATGATAAACTTCTATGGGTAATAATTGAAGCATCAGGTTTTTTACTTGGTATAATAAAAGTTCCTAATCCATTTATAGGTGAAGAATTTTCATCATTATTTGGTGAAGTAGTTGTTGAAGAAGAATTTTTTGCTTTCCTCTTCTTTATATCTTTTGGATATTTTTCACTTGCACGACCTCTTCTCTTTTCTTGTCTTAAATATGTACAAGGTATTTTAACTTGAGTACAATGAGCACATGGATGATTCCCATCACATTTAGTTCTTTTCACATTACATGAATCACAAGCTTTTCTAATACGAACTTTTTTCGAACCTGATTCACCTTGTTGTTGTTGTTGTGTAATTTGTTGTTGTTGTTGTTCCGCAACTCTTGACATATTAATATTCAGGGTCTTAATATTCAGCTAATCATCAACACTTGATTCTGGTAAACTAAAACGTGATTATTTCAAAAAAGTATTAACCATAAACTAGGATCCAAATATCCCTTAATTTTCCAAAAACTTGATTGTAAAGAGCAAATTCAAGTTTTTAGCAAAATGATATTTACTTTTCTGATATGAAATTAATAACTGGCAAAAAAAAAAGCGTTCCACACATTTTCAATTAGCCACTGGTTCGCACCGCAGACAGCTGCTGAAATTCACCGATCGGGCCTACAAAATACAAGAAACGTTCAGGAACAGATGGAATTCAGGAACAAATCAACTAGAGCTTGGGTTTTAATAGGGAGAAGCTAGGCTGATCTCAGTAGAGTGTATGTTTATGGTGTAGTTATATTCCACTGTGCAATGTAATCTTGTTCTGGGTGTCTGGTTATATAGCGTAGTGCTTTTTCGGAATATTATATAATTCTCCTTTTGTGTACATCGATAATAATCAAATTAAATTACAATGGGAATATGACAATGGTATAGCATAATAATATACTTGAACATGATTGAACTTGTCACCAGTCCATAAATACCTATATATAAATATGGATATAGAAAAACAACTAGAGCACGAGAAAAATGAAGAATCACCATCACAATCACATTCACATTCACCCCAAGAATCAATCCAAATACTTGAACCAATTGGTATAGAAGAACCACCATTACCAACAGTTTATCCTTCACAGTGGAGATTAACAATGATTGTGGTTACAATATGTACAGCTTCTATGTTTGCAATGTCTGATCAAACTGGGATTCCATTACTTTTATCATTCATAGGTGAAAATCTTGGTTCAAATAAATCAATTCAATGGGCTGGAACTGGTGCTTTAATTTGCAGTACAATTTCAAATATATTTGTTGGTAGAGCTGTTAATTTATTTGGTAATAAAATTTTATTTTTGATTGGATTAGCAATAATTTGTATTTTTGAAATTCTGTGTTATTTTGTTAAAGATAAAATTACATTTTATATTTGCAGATCCTTAACTGGGTTAGGTAATGGTGGAATTATTTCAATTTCAATGGTTATAATGTCTGATGTTGTCCATCCAAAAAGACGTGGAACTTTCCAAGGTATTTTAGGGTTTTCCATTGGTGTTGGAAGTTGTATAGGTCCATATATTGCTTCTGGTTTTGTAAATCATGATAAAACTAGTGGATGGAGAAAATATTTTTGCTTTATGGGATTAATGTTTTTATTTATTTTAATCTTAAGTATTTTAAGTATACCCAATAAATTAATCCAACAAAAACTTGATTGTTTCCCCACAAGAAAAGCCAGATGGTTATCAATTGATTATGGAGGTTTGTTTTTAAGTATAGCAACAGTTATTTTAGCATTGATACCTTTGAATATGGGTGGTCTTCTTTGGGATTGGGATAGTTTACCAATCATATTATGTTCAACTTTTGCAATTGTTGCCTTAGTATTACTTATAATTGTTGAATGTACATTCCCTAAAACTGCAGTTATCCCACCAAAATTTTTCAATAATTTTAAAGTTTCAAATTTTTTAATTCAAACTTTTTTAATAAGTATAATTTATTCTTCAATGATTTATTATATTCCATTTTATCTTACAGCAATCCAAGAGAAAAACATTTCTGAAGTTCCACATTATTTTTTAGCATTATTAATTCCTTTATCATTAAGTTCATTTGGTTCTGGATTATTAACATCATATTTAAATCAACAAAAGTATGTTATTATTGGTGGGTTCACATTATTATTCATTGGTGTTGTACTTTTATCAGTCCTTTTAGAAACAAGTACTTCAGATATTGCAAATATATTCATTTTTATAACTATTGGAACTGGTGCAGGATTTATATTTACACCAACAACTGTGGCAATTCAAAACCAGGTAAATCCAAATGAAAAATCAGTTGTATTATCAACAAAAGGTGTATTTAAAACTTTAGGTCATAGTGTTGGTGTAGCAATATCATCAATGATTTATACCAATACATTATTAAATGAATTGGATAAAATTGATATAATAAAACCATCAGATATAACATTTGTATTGAAAAATGTTTATAAGAAGATGACTTTAAATTATGCATATAATGGTACTGAATTAAATGTAATTGAAACTATTTATTCAACATCATTGAAAAATGTTTTCTTGAGTTATATTCCATTGGCAATAATTTGTTTAATATTATCAATGTTTATAAATGAAAAGCCAAATACATCAAGAGATCAATCACAACAAGAGCAACAAGAGCAACAATGATTCAATTTTGAAATTCTTCTTCCCATAAATTTCTTTGATGTTTAAACCAATCAGGTAAATCATATTCTTTTGGTAAAACAATTTCAATTGGATTTATATTTTTAAAAATTTGTAAAGGTAAATAAAAATTAAAATCATCATATAATACAATATCATTTATAGCATCTTTTTTAGAATCTGTTTTGATTTTTTGTTTTCTTAATTCAGCTTGACGTAATAAAGTTTTTGGAACTTGTGGAGAAGCAGATAATAAATTTTCTTCATTTTCATCTTCATCAAAATCTGCACCAATATCTTCTGAAAATCTTCTCTCAATAATATTATAATCTAATGAACCATTTCTACTTGATCTTGATCTAAGCATTGGAGGTGGAGAATCAAATGAAATATTTGATTTTAATCTAAGAGTTGATAATTCTAAAAAAGTTTCAGCAAAATAATTTGAATTTTTCCCACTATATAATCTATATTCTGAAACAATACTTGAAATAATCCATTTACAAGCTTTTCTTAATAATCCAACAATAACATTTGTTTTATCCACAATTAATAAATTACAATTATTTTTATTTAAAATAACTTTGAAAACTTTCCTTATAACATCTTCATTGAAAACCATCCAATCTTGATTATTTTCATTAATATCTGTATTTATTGATTGATTTTCAAATCTTATAGTTTCAATTTTATTTAAAGTCATGAAATTTTGGAAATTTTTCATTACTGGAGATTCATTATCTAATAAAACAATTGATTTTAATTGTAAAGTTTCTAAAAATGCAAAATTAATTGCATCTAATTTTGAACAACGGTCTAATATAAATTGTTAACTCATGATATAAAGTCTAGCTCAGAATGTAATTGTAACTTACAAATTCCTTCTTCAACAAGGCCGAAGTTATCAGGTGGTAGCAGCATGTTTCTAGGATCTTTAATTACTCAAGTGATAACTAGTTGATGTACCAATGTTGAACTAAAGACATTTGTTGTTTATTCAAATTCATAATTTTCTCGTATTTAAAATGCGATCCAAAATTTAAAATATAATATATACTCAAATATGCATTTTTATTTCCTAAAAGGGAAGTCAATAACTAAATTTCACAATTTAGTACTTTTAAGTTATACTAAACTAAACATAATGCTGCAAAATGATTCCTATACTTTACTAATCCATAATATAAATATTATAATTCATCAATCACTTATAATTATTCAAATTTAGTTGATAAATCATGTGATCAAATCTCAATATTTTACCCGGCTCAAAATGTTCCCATTTTTCGCGCGTATTGTTGATTTTGAACTTCGATGGAAAAACTTTGTACTTTTATTAGGAATCAGCGTCTAAGTCAAAACAACAACTAGTCATTAAACAACTTTGAAAAGATCGTTTTTAACTTCGTGAAAAGTTATTGAAAGAAGAATCCGTTGCTGCTACTTGTCTGTCCAGTTAGTATACCAATTTTAGAGACGCTAGTCTTGCAATTGCGTTTGTGATTCAATTAATACTAACATATCTTTGAAGGCAATTATATTAAACTAATTTATACAACGTTTGATTTTGATTTGTGTTGTTTTAGTTATTATTTTTTTCTATATTGTCATACTATATCAGTTATCTACAAAGGAAAACAAGGAAAGATTGATTAAAATTCCATTTCTTTTCTCCATTATAGCTGCATTATATCTTGATATTATTGTTTGATTTTAACATTTCATTTCCTTTTATTTGCCCAAGTTTACATTTATTTGTTCTAAATATCCTGGTTCTCTAGATTTTGGAGCTTCCAGGTTTATCAAGAATTGAAACAATTACTTCATCAGACCTTTTAAAGATAACTGCTTCACAGTTAGCAGTTCTTGCCAATAGCATTGAAGAAAAGACATTTGATAAAACTTTAAAACAAATTCATCAAATTTCAGAATCATCACCAGCTGAAGTTTATATTCGTTACATTACCAAATTATTATTAACTGGTAGTTCATTAGTTGAAACAAACATTGTTGCTAATCCAATTGTTGATAAACTTATTGAATCAGAATTTAAATATCTTGTTTCAAATCCAATTTATATTGAAAATTTCTCTAAAATCTTGTTAAAGAGTGAATCAATTTTAATAAATTTAGGTTTAACAAAATTCATTAATCATTTCAATTTCAATCAATTTGAGAAAAATTTATTATTATTAACTTTAGATCAAATTCCTGATAAAGAATTAACAAAAGAATCAGTTTCAATCTTATCAAAAGAATTTACAAGTTTAATTAATTTCATTCAATTAAATTATTCAAATTCTCAAATTTCAATTGATCAATTATCTTTATTTTTTAAATATTTTTTCAAATCAGAAGCTTTCACTTTATCTGAAAAATTATTAGGATTTACATTTTTATTAGATTTACTAATTGAACAAAATTCATCAAACTTAGAATTAATAACTTCAGAATTTTTAGTTACTTTATCCAAAATGAAATTTCAAGAAATTTTATCATCATTAGAACCAGAATTAATTGTTCCTGATAGATTAGTTAATGAATTATTATCCATACAATCACAAGATGATTTGAATGATGCTTTATCTTTGTTATTGGCTGAGATATTATCACCTGGCTCTCAGAATTTAGCTAAAACACCAGGTATAACTGCATTTACACCTCAAAATGTTCCTGAAGCTACAGCTAAAGGTTCACAATTTGGTTCAATAATTAGAAAATTACCTCAACAACCAATATGGAATTTAGTTTTCCAAAATGTTTTAAACAAAATTTCAAATCCAAGAATTAGTCAAGAATCTTTAAGTCAATTGTTATCAGCTCTTGATGATACAACTATTGATTTATTTTTGGAATATCAATGGCCAATTGATTTTAAAATTGAATTATATATTGCATTAAGACAATTAAATCCTGCAAATGGTGGATTTGATTTATTAAGAACTAATTATTTGAAACCAATTGTTAATGATTTATCTTATCCAAATTTGAAAAATTCAGTTTTATATTATTCAAACGTTACAAGATTAGAATTGGATTGTATTTCAAATTCAACAAGTATTCAAAGTACTGAACATAAGAATTTTTTACACATTATTTTTGAGAAAGATGTGAAAACTGTACCAGAATTAATTGCTATAGGTTGTTCACAATATTCACCACCTTCACCAACTATTGATGAGTTATTAGAAAATCTTGTTGTACATTTACTGGATGGTAATTCAACATATTATCCATTGATTTTGAAAAATTTACATCAAAAGGGTCAATTATTTAAAATTGTTAATAAATTAGTTGAAAATAGAACAAATTTAAATGAACAAGTTATTTCATTTTTGATTGCAAATAGATTAGTTGATCAATTTATTGATGGTGTTTCAATTACTTCAGCATTAACATTAGCCGCTTCAGCTGTTAAATTAGGTTGGAATGATTTACAACAATATTTGGCTCGTCAAAAGAAGGATCAATCTTTTATTAACGGTCTGTTACAATTTTTAAAAATTGAATCTGCAATTGATGAATCTAAAGCAGATAATCAAAAAACAACAAGTTTAAAAGTTATTTATCTGTTAATTGAAACTCTTTCAAAACAAGATTTGAATAAAGAACAATTTGAAGAATTTCAAAATGTTCAAACTCAAGCTTTACAAGCTTTCCCAAGACTTATTAATTTTGGATTTGGTCATGATGAAGCTATTTTAGCAAATGGTGATCTGAATTCATTCCCATTTGATGTTGAACAACAAATGAAGGTATTTTATCAAAAAATGTACAATCATGAAATTGAAATCAAAGATGTTATTACAATGTTGTCAGAATTAAGAGAAAGTGAAAATCCAAGAGATCAAGATGTTTTCGCTTGTATGATTCACTCATTATTAGATGAATATAGATTTTTCCCTGAATATCCATTAAATGCTCTAGCAATTACTTCTGTTCTGTTCGGTTCTATGATTTATTTTCAACTTATTAGAGGAACTGCCTTGAAAATAGCTTTGAGATATATTCTAGATTCATGTAATGAATCACCAGATTCAAATATGTTTAAATTTGCTGTTCAAGCTTTATTTGCATTTAGACAAAGATTACAAGAATTTCCAAACTATTGTGCTGCTTTAGCTGAAGTTGAATCTTTAAAATCTCAACAACAAATTTATCAAATCATTTTAAATGTTGGTAAAAATAAATCAGATACTGTAGCAGGTGGTGATATTGCTTTGAATCAAAATCAACAACAAATTTTAAACTCAAATACAGCTGCTCCATTTGAATCACAACCAAAACCACAATCATTTAAATCAATTTCAACTCAAGTTTCATTTTTCAATAATGTTTTACAAGAACAACCAAGAACTGAAGTATCTCAAAGGGTTTTATTTTTGGTTAACAATCTTACTACTGATAATTTCGCTTCAAAATCACAAGAATTGAAAACTATCTTACAACCAGCTAATTATCATTGGTTTGCTACTTATTTGGTTGGTCAAAGAGTTAAAACTGAAGCAAATAACATCAATTTATATGGTTCACTTGTTGAAGTTATTGAAGATGAACTGTTTTCAGAATACGTTACAAGTGTTGCTTTAGAAGAAGTTTCGGATTTATTGAATGAAGCTGATAGTTCAATTACTGAACGTAATCACTTGAAGAATATTGGTAGTTGGTTAGGTAGAATTACATTGGCAATTAATAAACCTTTAAAACATAAATATCTTGCTTTGAAAGACTTACTTGTTGAAGCTAATGATGTTAAAAAATTACCACTGGTTGTTCCATTTGTTTGTAAGATTATTGAACAAACTAATGAATCTGAAATTTTCAAGCTGCCAAATCCTTGGACTCTGGGTATTATTCGTGTGTTGAAAGAACTGTATCTTCATTTCGATTTGAAATTGAATTTAAGATTTGAAGTTGAAGTTCTGTGCAAAAATCTGGGTTTCGAATTTAATGATATTGAACCATCAGTTATTATTAGAAAATTAGATGTTGTTCCATCTTCAAGTGCTGCAATTACTCAAGGTGTTTCTAATTTGAAACTGGATTCAACACCACAAGGATTCCCACAGTCTACTGTTGGTTCTCGTGAAGGTCCTGTACCTTTGGTTCATGAAAATGCACCATTATTACAACAGCAACAACAACCATTACTACCTCAACAGCAACAACAACAACAACAATCAGTTGTTTCAAATCAAGGAATTCCACCACAATTACCACCACAACATATTCCACAACCACCACAACAACAACAACAACCTCAACAATTTACTCAATTACAACATGCACATGTCAGTGAAGCAATTTTCCAACAACTTCAAGGTTTAACTGTTTTTGTTACAAATGTCACTTTAAAACGTATGTTTGTTTTGGCTTTAACAAAATCAATCAAAGATATTTTACCACCTGCAGTTGAAAGAGCTGTTAGTATTTCTGTTACAGCAGCAAAATCATTGATTTTAAAAGATTTTGCTTCAGAAGTTGATGAGGTTAAATTACGCAATTCAGCACATATACTGGTTCGTCGTCTGGCTGAAGGTCTGGCTTTAGCTACTTGTCGTGATCCACTTAAAGAAAATATTCAAACTACTGTTCATGGATTATTGCCTCAATTTTTGAATGTTGAAAATTCACCTTTAGATGAACTTCCACAAGCTATAAATGATAACATTGATTTGGCATGCAGTTTTGTTGAAAAAGCAGCTATGGATAAAGCGGTTCAAGAGATTGAAGAACAATTATTACCTGCTGTTTCTGAACGTCGTACCCATTTAGAAATGAGAACATCAGATCAACAACCATTTTATTCACAACATCTTTCAAGACATTCTGTTGGTTTACCTGATCCACTTTCATTGAAGCAAACTGGTGTTACACCACAACAGTTATCAGTGTATGAATCTTTTGGAAAGCATCGTACTTCATCACCAGGTATTGTCCCACCTCAAGAAGTTCAACCAAGAGTTCAAGCTCAAGCAATGGCACCAGCTTCAAGTGTTAATGGTTTACCACCTCATGTTCCACAACAATCTCCACAAGTTACTATTGAGCAAACATTTACATATATTCAAACTTTGGTTGATAATTTACTGAGATCTATTTCAGAAGTGCCACAATCCAAATTGAGTGATTTAGCTCCTGAAACTCCAATAAAATTACTGATTAATCAAATTTTTGGAATTGCTGCTAGAAGTTTGAGTAAAGAACAATTATTATTGAAAATTGCACAATTTATTGTCAATGCTTTATTCACTACATCTGAATCTAACTTATGTGTCGAGGTTTTTGTCTTCTTGTTGGAGAAGATTTGTACTATTTCAATTTCAACTAGAAAAGATGTTTGTTGGTGGTTAGTTCATGCATCTGATGAACGTAAATTCAATGCCAAGGTTATGCTTGCCCTCTTGAAAGCTGGTTTAATTACAGCTTCTGATTTAGATGGACCTCTTTCAAAATCCATTTCACCACAAAATTCTGCATCAATTGATTTTGCCATTAAATTAGTCAAAGATAGTGTTTCTGTTGAAAATACTGTTGCTTTCAGATCAGATTTTGCTCTGACTGTTGCTGTCTTGAAGGAAATTAAAGATAATGAAAATGTTGATGAATTCTTGGCTTATTTGGACAAAGAATCTACACAATTACTTGATTCAAATGATTCACTTTCAGAATCTGATAGAATGGCTTATGTCTTTACCGAATGGGTTCGCTTATTACAACATGAACCATTGAATGACAAACTTCATATTGTTTTCATTCATCAAATGGTCAAGACTGGTATTTTTAGATCTCCAGAAAGTATTACTTTATTCTTTAGAAATGCTATTGAAATTTCAGTTTCATTCTTCAAAGAAAGTGATCCAATCAATGATGTTTTCCTGTCTACAGATGCTTTATCAAAATTAATTGTCAAATCTTTAGTTATTCAACAAGAAACAGATATGTCAACTATTAACTACTTTAAGCTTGTCATTTCAATAGTTTCATTAGTTTTTGCAAATGACCATGAAAAATCTGAAGAAAGTTTCAACGAAAGACCTTATTTTAGAATCTTTTCAACTTTATTGTCTGAATGGTCATTGGTTGATGTTGAAAAAGAAGGTTTGAGTGAATTTAACACCACATTTTATTTGGTTTTGGCTGATTTCTTCAATTCTTATCAACCATTAGCATTCCCGGGTTTTGCATTTGCATGGGTAACTTTAATTTCTCATAGAATGTTTTTACCAAATATTATTGAATTGAATCATCCAAAAGCACAAGGAAAATTTGTTTTATTATTGTTAGATTTGTTACGTTTCGAGTCCAGATATATTAAACAAAAAGATGTTCCTGAAGTCATTTCTGTCATTTACAAAGGTACATTACGTTTGTTCTTGTTATTGTTACATGATTACCCAGAAATTCTTGTGCAATACCATTACCAATTATGTTGTGAAATTCCACCATCTTTTGTTCAATTAAGAAATATTGTTTTATCCTCTTTCCCAAAGACCATTTCAATGCCAGATCCATTTACTCAAGGCTTAAAAGTTGATAGATTACCAGAAATTTCAGAATCACCAATAGTTGCTTATAATCCATCAAATGATTTGAAATCATTGAAAAAACCAATTGATGGATATTTAAGAATTCCTTCAAATATGTTATTGAAGACTATTCTCAACGGATTAAAACAAGCCACTTCAGATGAGGCTGGTATTGGTTTCAACAAGTTGAATTTTGATACTAAAGCAATCAATGCTTTGGTTCTATATGTTGGTATTCAAGCTGTTAATGATCGTCATCCAAATGGTCAAACATTCAATCCTAAATCTTCACATTTTGCCTTACTTTCAGGTTTAATGCAAGAAGGCTCTGTTGAATTCCAATACCATTTAATTGAAGCTATCTCAAATCAACTTAGATATCCAAATTCTCATACACATTGGTTCAGTTATATAATTTTACATTTCTTTGGTGCTCAATCATTATGGAATGGTAAAAAATCACAAGTTCAACAAATCATTACCAGAGTATTGTTGGAAAGAATTATTTGCAACAGACCACATCCATGGGGTTTACTGATTACATTTACTGAATTACTGAAGAATACTGAATTAGCATTCTTTGATTTGGACTTTACAAAAGCTTCACCAGAATTAGAATCTATTTTCGGCTCATTACTTCGTCACATCAGTTCTAGTTCTTCAGCCAAATCTCAACAATTACCACAAGCACAAGCTGTATGAATTCCATACTGCTTTCATTTTTACGAAACATCCTGCATTAGAGTTTAAATTGTTTTTTAATCTTTCGTTTTCCAGTTTTTTTAATTTTGTCTTTGTTACTTTTTTTAGTACTTTTATAGTACTATCCATTTCATGACCACAAAAACTTTTTCAATTTTTTATTTTTAATCTTATTCTTGGGTGTCTATAATTTGAAATTTGTTTTTACTGTACCATATAATAGAATGAATTTATGTTAATTAAAAAGAATTCTGAACTTTTGTAGTTTATGATACATTTCAACCAATTCGCGGATTTCTTGATTTTTTTTTTATTTTTATATTTGTTTTTCCTTTGAAGTACTGCTCTAAATCACAACGTAATGCGTTCACAATCAAAATCAAAATATCAAATTAACAATAAGCAATGCTTTCCTTTTTAAGAAGACGAAGACAATCTTCTGATAGTGATATCAGTGGGATAGTGGATCAACCAAGAGTAAAGTCTAGGAAACCACCAAGTATGTTTTGTGATTTGTAAAAGGGAATAAAAAAGTTACAAGATCAAGTACTAATTCATAATTAGACACTGCCTTCAGACAACAAAGATTGAAATCATGGCAACCCATTTTATCACCAAGATCAGTTCTTCCATTATTGTTCTTAGTGGCAGTTATATTCACACCATTGGGTATAGCACTTATATATACCACCTATAATGTTCAACAATTTGTTGTGGAATATAGTAAATGTTCAGAATTGGCATCAACAAATTTTCAAGATATATCATCAAAATATGTTACAAAACATTTCCAATCATATAATTCAGATGATTATAACACTCCACAATGGAGACTTGTTGAGAATGATGATACTACAACATGTCAAATTAAATTTTCTATACCTCATGAAATTAAGGCACCAGTTTATCTTTATTATAAATTAACCAAATTTTATCAAAACCATCGTGAATATGTTGAATCTTATGATTTACAACAATTAAAAGGTGAAGCAGTAAGTGCTGATGATTTAGATAGTGATTGTGGACCATTAAAGACAAATTCTGATGGTAAACCATATTACCCATGTGGATTGATTGCAAATTCAATGTTTAATGATACATTTGATTCACCATATAAATCAGATGATGAAACTTCAATTTATAATATGACTGATAAAGCTATATCATGGAGTTCAGATAGATCAAGATATCAAAAAACTAAATATAAAGCATCAGAAATTGTACCACCACCAAATTGGGCTAAAAAATATCCAGATGGATATACAGATGATAATTTACCAGATTTATCACAATGGGAATCATTACAAGTTTGGATGAGAACAGCAGGATTACCAAGTTTTATGAAATTAGCACGTCGTAATGATAAAGAAACATTGGAAAAAGGTGAATATATAATGAATATTGGATTAAATTTCCCCGTTTCAATTTTTGGAGGTACAAAATCAATGGTTATCACATCAAGTAGTATTATTGGTGGTAGAAATTTAAGTTTAGGGATTGCTTATTTAGTTGTTGCAGCTATATCTGTTTTCTTTGGTATTGTATTTTTAGTTAAATATATTATTCAACCAAGAAAATTAGGAGATCATTCATATTTAACATTCCAAGACCGTTCAAATACTGATGCTCGCTCAACTGATTCATATGTGGAACCACAACCTTCAAGAGATGAACCTAGAACAGTTCGTGAGATTCTGTGAAGAAGTTGTGTTATTTTAGTGTATAGTGTATTATCCGAAAGGGTAATCTGTCAATTTTCCTCGTGCGTTGTTTTTGTTTTTGGGATAATATTCCACAAAAAACAACCTGAATTGAAAAAAAGTTGAAATATTAGTTTAGTTTTACGTTTATTTAAATTTATAAATCTTTAATCTTTATTGAAAGTAGATAAGAGACTATAAGCAAAGATGGCTAGAGCTAAACGTATTGTGAAAGAATTGGATGATGTTAGAAAAGATACCGAAGCTTCAATTACTTTGGATCTTGTTTCCGAAGATGATTTAAGTCAATTAAAAGGTTCATTTAAAGGTCCTCCAGATACACCATATGCAGGTGGTAGATTTGTTGTTGATATTAAAATTCCAGTGAGTATAATTGAACTGATTGCCAAAAGGATGTATTACTAACAATTGCCTATAGAATGAATGTAAGTTTATTTCAAAAATTAAGGATTACCAATATTATCATTTTGATTGCTAACAATAATTAATTAGATCCATTTAAACCACCAATTATGAAATTTGATACAAAAGTTTATCATCCAAACATTTCTTCAGTTACAGGTGCCATTTGTTTAGATATGTAAGTTTTAAATTTTTGAATTTTACCACAAGTTGTTGTTTTGTTGTGTGTTTGTTACTAATACATTTCATAGTTTAAAAGATGCTTGGACTCCAATTTTAACATTAAAATCATCATTAATTTCATTACAATCATTATTTCAATCACCAGAACCAAATGATCCACAAGATGCTGAAGTTGCTAAACATTATATATCGGATAAAGCAGGTTTTGAAAATACTGCAAAATATTGGACACAAATTTATGCAAATGATAAAGAATCAAAAACTCCAAATGATGCTGAATTATATGGTATTGATCAAACAACAGTTAATAATTTTGAAAATATGGGATTCCCAAGAGAAAAAATTATTGAAGTTTTAAGAAGATTAGGATTGAAAAAAGTTGAATCTGGTGAACCAAGAACTGAAAATAAAGTTATTGAAGAATTACTTAAATAAGTGTTTTATATAGAAAATATGATTAAATGATTAAACTTTTTTTATTATTATAAAACATATTTATAAATTAGCAAATTATAAATTAAGAAAAAGGTATTGTAGCTAATATTTTAGACATTATTCATCATATATATCATATATCATATATTAATTTGAAGCTTTATTTGTCTTCTTTTTTTGTTGATTTTGATTGTTGAATTTTTGATTTTCTTTATTTTTACCATTATTATTGTTATTGTTATTGTTATAATTTTGTCTTTTATCTTTAAAACTTAAATTATTACCTTTTTCTTCAATTGTAACAACACTTGATTTAATTTTTAAACGATTAACTCTTAAAGCTTCTTTTTGAGCTTTTTCTTCTTCAAATGAAACTAATGCAAAAGTACCTCTTGGTTCAACTTTAATAGTTTTACCAAATGATTTTTCTAAAGCTTCACGAACATCTGAAGCTGATAATGCATCAATACCTCTAACAGTAATTGCATATAAATGATCAATTTTTTTATTTCTATTTTGATTATTTGTAGCATGTTGTAAAGGTTGTTGTTTAGTATTTGAATTTTTATCTTTAGATTGTGATTGTGATTGTTGTTGTTGTGTTGATGATGGTGGTGGTGATTGAGTTGAAGTTGATTGAGGTTTTGATTTTGGTTTTGATTTTGTAACAGGTGTAGTTGTAGTTGGAGAAGTTGTTGATGGTGATGAAATAACAGCATCTGCCCAGCTTCTTGGTGGTGCTTTAACAGGTTTTGATTCTTCAGATTGTTTTGAGGATTCTTCAGGTTTGGAAGATTCTTCTTTTGAAGAAGGTTCTTCTTTGTCTTCTTCTTTGTCTTCTTTTTGAGCTTCTTCTTTTTCATCAGTTTTAACATTTGAATCACCATTGACTTGTTCTTTTGGTTTTTCGGTTTCAATTGGTGTTTCATCTGAAGTTTCAGTTGGTTTTTCAACTGGAGTTTCCACAATTTTTTCTTCTTTAGTTGATTCTTCTTTAATTTGACCATTAGCTTCAGTAATTGTAATTGAAGCATCTTCAGTAACATTTGAAGTTGATGGTTCTTCAGCTTGAATTGATCCATTTAAAGTTGGGATTGAATTTTGAATTTCATCTTCATTATTAATTTGATTTAATTCAAAATCATCATCAGGAATTAATCTAAAAATATCATTACTAATATCATAAGTTTTTTCCACTTTACCAGGTACAAGAACAAAAGTTTGAGTGAATCTATAAACTGGACTTTCATCAGTTAAAGCTAATTCACCAATAATTGAAATTAAAATTGAATTATTTAAATTAATTGATTGAGAATCAATACTTGAAACTCTAACTTTACAATTTTTAATATTTGAATTTGAATAAAATTTTTCAATTTCCAATTTATTTGTAAATTGTTCAGTTTCAATTGATTTATTAATAGTTTCATGATCATCATTATTTGAAGGAATCTTGGAATGAGTTAAATTAGCATCATCTGTATAAATTTGAAATAATTTAGTTGGATTTTCATGTAAACTTTGATAATAGAAATGAACAAAAGAGTAAGTGACAGCTTCAGTGCTTGATTGTGACATTATTGGTTATTTTTATTGGTTATTTTATTATGGGATTGAAATGAATGGCAAATGATTAATTTGAATATAATGCTCTTTAATTAATGCAGCGGTTAAATTAAAACTAAAACCAAAACGTAACAAAGAAAACCAGAAAAGGAACTAAAACTTTGGGATTGTGAAAAATGCAGTCTAATTGGCTTAGATTGTGAATATTCTCAATGAAAATGGATTGAGTTGTTTTATCGTTCCTTATTAAAATTAAAATGGATTTCAATTTACTTTTATAATTTCAAAAATCAACTCATGTTTTTTCTTAAATCGTCAATTGGAAAAAATTTGGAAAAACTTATTCGCGAATTATTTCCAAATAATATAAATTGATCAAATTTTCAACTTTTCATCATTTTCAAACTTCAAACTAAGTGTTTTACATGATAATCACTATCTTTGTTTCTGATTTTAAATATGTCTCCAAAACTAAACTTGGTGAAGCAAAGATTTTTATTATGATTGTCTTTGAATTTATCGCATATATCTTTTAAAAAGTGTGGGATTTCGTCATGGAATCGAAACTTTATACTTGTTTAAAGAGTTAACTATTCAGTATGATTCTACTAAGTATACTAATTCATATATACAAAACATTCTAAAAGATCAAGTCTAGTTTATTACTGAAGAATATTTAGTATGACATCTTTGATTCTTTTGAATATATAATCTTTTTTGGAATTGCTGGTTATATCCATTGTAGTATTTATATCGATAACTCTGACCTACAATTCAATATGAAAACAAATTTCATTCCATTTCAATCTAAATGATGATTAAATTAACCAATAAACAAGTTATAATATATTCATAAATCATGGATTGTTCTACTTAATCCTTGTGGTGTTTGAGCTCCAGATGGTAATTGTTGATTTGGATTCCCAGTTATTATTGATGTATTTGTAGAATTATTATTATTATTATTATTATTATTATTTAATAAAAATTGTGCTTCATTTGATAAACCATGAATTAATCCATTAAATTTTGATAAATCATTAAATTTATTTTTCAATTCAATAAATGTTAAATTTGTTAATAAAGCTTGACCACCTGTACTTACAAATATATTTAATCTTGGTATATTTAATTCATCAGCTAAATTTTCTAAACTTAATTTTGGATTTGAATCTTTTGAATTTATAATTTTTGATAAAATTTTTAAATCAAATAAATTTGGGAAAAAAATTTGAATTTTATTTATAAATTCATCTTCAGTATTTGGCATATCATTATTTGTTAATAAAGAAATTAAAAATCCAAAATCATAACCTGAATGGAAACTTGTCCAATGAACATTTTTCAATAAAACTAAACCTGAACTTGTTAATAATTCAGCAAATTCAAATTGATCAATCCCATTTGATAAATGTTGATTAAAATCAATTCCAGTTTTAATTAATGATTCATAAGCTTCATTTGAAATCATTTCACTATTTAAATCAAATTTAAAATTAAATTGCCATGTACTATAAATATTATCAGGTTTTTTACCATTAACATCACTTAAACTAATACCAAATTGAATTAAATTTAATAAATCAGTATTTGTTCTCAGGGTTTGATAATGATAATCATTTGTTGAAGTGAAAACACCAATTGGTCTCGCTAATATACCTGGGAATTCTGTACTAAATGAAACATAATTATATTGAGTAATTAATTGACGAATAATTGCAAATTCTTGATGGAAATTTTCTTTCCAAACTTCTTTAACTGTGGTTACAGGAAATGGCATAGTTGAACCAACACTACCACCAACATTAGCATTGTTTCCAATTATTGAACCAATTGGTCCACCAAGTTGTTGATGTTGTTGTACTTGAGCTTGTTGTTGAACTTGTTGTGCTTGTTGTTGTTGAGCTTGTTGTTGCTGTAATTGTTGGACTTGTTGTTGTTGTTGTAATTGCTGAGCCTGGGCTTGTAAGTGGGCTTGTACTTGAGCTTGTTGTTGTTGAGCTTGTTGTTGTTGTTGTTGAACTGATAATGGGTTTAAATTTCTTTGATTAATCTGTGGCGAGAATGATAATTGTTGTAATTGATTTAATTTTTGTAACTGGGCAGATTGATTCAAATCATTCTGCATATAAGGGAAACTCATGATTTATTGGGATCTTATGAATTTAATTATAATAGAATGAATGTACATATATAAATCTAATAATCTTGTATTTTTGATATTGTTCAAAGTAATTCTCAGTTGACCATGAAAAAAACCAATCGCGAAATTATCATTAAAATAAAGTCATGTGAAATACTGTATAGTCATGTGACATTTACTTGTCAAAGCCCTAATTCATAAAATTTAAAATTTAACTTGTACTTTGAAGATCTAATTTAGTTTGTCTTAGTATTTGGTATTGGGTATTAATTATTACATGTATGATTGATTTATAGATTGTATAGATTTGATTGTTACACATACCTTTCTTTTCAATAGTTATATAGCTGATCTCATACAATATCTCGGACTTTTAAAGGTGAACTCCCAGTTAATCAACATGAAATCAACAACGTATCGGCGCTTGTGCGCTTGTTCCCTTATTAGAAACTCTGTGCGCTTTGTTCATAGATAACCAAGTAACCGGTTGGTTCAAAATGAACAAACAATTGTATTTATTTAAACGTGGTTGAACAATGAATCCAACAAGTGTACTACCAACTTGACAATCCATTCAAATCAATCTCTTATCAGTAACAAATATCTTCAAAGTTAACGACATTCAATTGCTTTCCATCTTGACGTAATTGATTCTTAGTTCTACCAATCAGAAAAAAAAAAAGATTCTTAAAAACTCCGAGATTCTATAATCCTCTATAAAGCCTTATTTTGCCACAAAATTTCATCTCTTGAATTGTTTTATACTCAATTAAATATCAATTCATTAATATATATACAATAATGACTGTCTCTGTTAATTATCCAGAAGAATTTAAAGGTTTTGCCATTACAGATCCAAAAGATTGGGCATCACCAAAATTAACTTCAATTCAACCAAAAATTTTTGGACCAAATGATGTTGATATTGAAATTGAAGCTTGTGGTATTTGTGCAAGTGAATTATTTACTTTAAAAAATGAATGGTCTCATGATGAATTAGCATGTTTAAGTTCAACTTATGGACCAAAATGTCAAATTGTTGGTCATGAAGTTGTTGGTAAAGTTGTTAAAATTGGTTCCGAATGTAAAACTGATGTTAAATTAGGTCAAAGAGTTGGTTTAGGTGCTCAAGCTTCATGTTGTGCTAAAGAAGATTGTTCAAGATGTAATAGTGGTAATGAACAATATTGTCCACAAAGTGTTGGTACATATGCTTCACGTTATCCAGATGGTTATGTTTCTCAAGGTGGTTATGCTTCACATGTTAGAGCTCATGAACAATTAGTTTTCCCAATTCCAGATGGTATTGAATCTCACCTGGTTGCACCATTACAATGTGGTGGGTTAACTGTTTACTCACCAATTAAAAGAGGTATTCAAGATATTTTGGATGCTGGTAAAGAACAACCAAAAGTTGGTATTATTGGTCTTGGTGGTCTTGGTCATATGGCTGTTATGATTTCCAAAGCATTAGGTGCAGAAGTTACCACATTTTCAAGATCAAATGCTAAAAAAGATGATGCTTTTAAGATGGGTACTGATAAATTTATTGCCACTGGTGAAGATAAAGATTGGGAATCAAAAAATTGGGATCAATTTCATTTAATTTTAAATTGTGCATCAGGTACAAGTGCAGTTGATTTAGATAAATTATTGAAAACTTTAAAAGTTAATAGATCTTTCATTAATGTTGGTTTACCTCATGTTGATGAAAAATTTGAAATTTCTCCTTTTACTTTTTTCAAAAATGGTTCAACAATTGGTTCAAGTTGTTTAGGTTCAAGAGCTGAAGCTATTGAATTATTTGAATTAGCTGCTAAACATAATATTAAACCATGGGTTGAAACAATTAAAATTGGTGAAGAAGGTGTTCATGAAGGTTTAACAAGATTAGATCAAGGTGATGTTAAATATAGATTTACTTTAGTTGGATTTAATGAATATTTTGGAACTGGTAAATAGATTACATATTTTTAAAGGTGTTATAGATTAATCCCATGATAGAGATGATTTTAGAATTGTTTGTTTGTTATGTGTTCTGTGTATTTATAATCACATGTAAATGAGGCAATGCATTTATAACTCCTATTCATATCGTACTTTGTTCATCTTGCATTGTTTAGCCCTAAATTAGTACATTATAACTTATGAGTTCTGAGTTCTGAGTATGAATATGAAGAATCAATATTAGTTATATTTATATAGTACATCAATGCTTGTAAACCATGGATAAATCATCTTGTATAACTCAATGATTTAGATCTGTGGTAAAATTTTCTTAGTTATACAGTAACCTCATTTAATTCATACCGGTTATACAACATTCGCATAAACTTCGGTTATTAAAAGATTCAATTGAACCAATTGAGCCATATGGTCATGACTTGATACACAACATAACGTCATAAGTATAACAAATAAATTCACATGGTTTCTCCTATCTTGTGACAAACAACTACTAGTATTATTTGTTATTGGTTAAATTAGTTTATTTACTTTTTAATTCCTGTGGGATTATAGAATAGGGGGATCAACAGTTTTAGTTTTTCACATGTGATTGTTTCTATGTGACAAAATGGAGTACACCATCAATAGTTAAGTGTCAAGTGTGAAGTGTGAAGTGTATCGACGGTATAATAGATATAGACTATGTTATACAATTTACACCCATTATCACATGTTACTTACTAGTAGTATTACCACTCACTTACTTCTCACTTACTTGTGTATTTCTAGATCTGTTTGTTTCCCGATTAAATAATATTAGATCCAAGAATTCAATTCCCCTTTGAACCAACACATTGTAAACTTTAACTCAAATTTACAATATAGGGGAAATAATAATATGAATTCAAACATGTGAAAGAAAATTAGCCGCTGTGGTGCTGTGATTGAATATTAATATAAATATCAGTGGCAATTCCCATTCTTTTCTATACTTTCTATTTCTTTCTTCACCCATCAAAGAGTAATATCAAATCAGTGATAATACTCATTAACAATCTTTCAAAGTGTTTTCCAATCTTTTGGCTTCAAAACACCACCCTTATAACTGCAAACGTACCGGTAGCTCAGGTCTGGCACATAGAATCTATCATTAATTAACAACAATCAACAACAATGGTCTCAATTAAAGTCACTAATGATAAAGTTAAATACAACAGTGATAACACTGTTTTAACTTCTTCATATACTTATCAAAATTCAATTGTTGAACAAAAAGGTGATATCTACAATGTTAAACCATTCACTAGAGAATATGAATTTAATGTTGATTTAAAAGTTCCAAAAACTGGGTTATTATTAGTCGGTTTAGGTGGTAATAATGGTACTACTTTTGTTTCTGCAATTGAAGCAAATAAACAAAAAATTATTTTTAATAATAAAGAAGGTGAAGTTAAATCAAATTATTTTGGTTCTGTTACTCAAGCTTCAACTGTTAAAATTGGTATTGATGAATCTGGTAAAGATGTTTATGTTCCTTTTAATTCAATTTTACCATTTGTTAATCCAAATGATTTAATTGTTAGTGGTTGGGATATTAATGGTGCAAATTTAAAAGATGCAGCCAAAAGAGCTCAAGTCTTGGAATATGATTTACAATCTAAATTAGGTTCAACTTTATCCCAATATTCACCATTAAAATCTATTTATTATCCAGATTTTATTGCTGCTAATCAAGAAGATAGAGCTGATAATATTTTTAACATTGATTCAAATGGTAAAATTGATCAATCAAATAAATGGGATCATGTTGAAACAATTAGATCTGATATTAAAAAATTCCAATCTGATAATAAATTAGATAAAGTTATTGTTTTATGGACTGCAAATACTGAACGTTATTCTCAAATTATTGATGGTGTTAATGATACAAGTGATAATTTAATTTCTTCAATTAAATCAGGTCATAAAGAAGTTAGTCCTTCAACAATTTTCGCTGTTGCTTCAATTTTGGAAAATGTTGCATTTATTAATGGTTCTCCTCAAAATACTTTTGTTCCAGGTGTTGTTGAATTAGCTGAAAAAGAAGGTTCTTTCATTGGTGGTGATGATTTTAAATCTGGTCAAACTAAATTAAAATCTGTTTTGGCTCAATATTTAGTTGATGCTGGTATTAAACCTTTATCAATTGCTTCATATAATCATTTAGGTAATAATGATGGGTTTAATTTAAGTTCAAATGAACAATTTAAATCAAAAGAAATTTCAAAAGGTTCAGTTATTGATGATATTATTGAATCAAATTCAATCTTATATAACAAGGAATTAGGTGATAAAGTTGATCATACAATTGTTATTAAATATTTAAAAGCTGTTGGTGATTCCAAGATTGCAATGGATGAATATTATTCTGAATTAATGCTTGGTGGTCATAATAGAATTTCAATTTCAAATGTTTGTGAAGATTCTCTCTTGGCAACTCCATTAATTATTGATTTAGTTATTGCAACTGAATTTTTAACAAGAGTTTCTTATAAACCTTTAGGTTCAAATGATTCTGCAAAATCATTATATCCAATCTTGGGTTATTTAAGTTATTGGTTAAAAGCTCCATTAACAAGAAAAGGTTTCCAAACTATTAATGGATTAACTAAACAAAAACAAGGTTTAGAAAATTTCTTAAAAGCTTTAGTTGGTATTCCAATTTCTGATGAATTAAGATTTGAAGAAAGATTATAATCTTTTTAATCTTTTGATCTTTTGATCTAACTGACTTGGTATTTTTTTATTTCCCTTTTTACTTATCCTTTTTAACTCAAACTAAGTCTTATTTTGTGTGTCCAGAAAATACAGAATTTTACAATTCTTAATCAAATGTAGTATGATCTTCATTATATATACTTTTAAATTCTATATACATAATGTGGAGATTTATCACCCATTTTAAAAAATCCTTCATCTGTATAATCATCAAATTTCCCCATTTTCAAATCTTTTAATCTTTTTTTATTGATATAATTATATGAAATAATTAAACAACTACAACTAATTAATCCCATAATTGCAAATCCTAATTCAAGACTATGACCAAGAGTATAATTTGTACCTTTATAAAAATTTGAAGCAAATGCACCACCAAAATTTCCAATCCCAATATGAATTGCAACACCAATTGCTCTCTTCTTGGAATTTGCTAAATTATTTGATAACCATGCTAAAATACCTGGAAATGCACTATATAAACCTAAAATGGCAACATAAACACCTCCATAAATAACTTTTGGTTTCCCTGTTTCTTCTCCAACGATTGCCATTGTAAAACCCACAATAACTAATATAAGATTAATCATTATAAATGGTGATCTTTTCCCTAATTTATCTGCGAAAAAAGCTTGAATCACTGATGATATTGATGCAGTTACATAAATTGGTACAGTCATTAATTGAGCATGTGCTGTACTATAACCTAATGCTTTAACAACAGTTGGTAAAAATAATGATATACCATAAGTTGGTGAAATAATTCCATAATATAATAATAAATGTAAATAAATTTGAAAATCCATAAATGCAATTTTTAAATTTTTCCATAAATTATAATCATTTGAATCATTAAATTTATTAAAATTTGGTTTCCTAGTTTGTAAATCTTCATTGTTATCTTTAACAGTATTATTATCATTTGATAATCTCCATAGGACAAATTTTTTCTCTCTTTCATTTAAAAATTTAACCTTTTCTGGAAAATCTGGAAATGTAAATAATGCAATAGCTGCTACAACAATTGTTAATAATCCTTCCAATATGAAAATCCATCTCCAACCTCTATAACCACCAACTCCACTCATATGAGCAATACCAAATGCTAAAATCCCACTGAAAGCACCTGCAACTGAAGCAGCACCATAAAAAATTGCTTGTCTTAATTGCATTTCACCTTTACAATAAAACATACTTAATTGGAAACTTATAGCAGGGAACAAACCAGCTTCTGTAATACCCAAGAATAATCTTGTTGCAAATAAACCTTGAAAATTTTGAACAATACCCATTAATGTCATTACAATACCCCAAGAAATCATTATTGAACCTAAAAAAATTCTTGGTTTACCAATTTTTTTAAATAACATATTTGATGGAACTTCAAATAATGAATAAGTTATGAAAAAAATTGTAAGGCATAAATTATATTGATCTGGTGAAAGATCAAGATCCTCGATTAATCCTTCAATTTTTGCATTACCAATATTACCACGATCTAAAAATGCTAATAAATATAAAGCTGAAGCTAATGGTAAAATATTCCAATCCATTTTTCTTAATATTTTAGATTCATCTAAATCACTAAAATCATCATCTTCAAATTTTGTTTCATCTTGATTATTTTGAATTGAAGTATTGCTATTATCACTTATATCTTCAATAAATTGAGCAGTTGGTTTTTCATCAATTGACATATTGTTGGTATGTATAGTTTAAAGATTGACTAGTACTATCAAAATGTTGAACAATAACTAGTGTTACATCCTTTATTATATATTTATATTCAAATGTTAAACTCCATAATGTCTAGATTCAGTATAATGCTCAACTAAACCATAATTCCTGAAACTTTTCAAATTACCCCAGATTTCAACCCCGAGTTTATAAACGTTGAAAACGATGATGTTCTCGATTCAATGATCTTACGGAGAATAAATTTAAAATAATAATGGAATCTAATCATAAATAAGACATTTGATTTAAAATCCAACAATTAATTTGGCTTGTCTTTCAAGTAAATTTGAGATAATTATCATTTACATCTGTATACCCCAGATTTATTACTTATATGATCAAAGTGATAATTGCTCAGCTTTATTACTTAATATAAAATTTATTTTTTGGACAACGTCGTAATATCCGCGAATTACCTAATTTTACCATTATTATCCGAATTTGGAAATTTTGTTGAAATTGAATTAATTAATAACACTCCATTATATGCTTGAAAAACATTGAGCTTTTCATATAATATTCAAAATGTCTTAAGGTTTTCAGTTCTTTAATTATTTCTGCTAATTTCCAAGTTTGATCAAATTTTGGAATTTTTGAAAAGATTTAATTTAAATGTAAAATTAAAAATATTGTGACACTCTTTTTGAAAATCCTAAAAAGTTGAAGGTAAAAAATGGCAGTTTTAAGATAATTCAATAAAACCTTGATTACTCAATGATATATAAAAGATTTTTAAGCTGCAAATAACTTACTTTGACTTTTTTACATAAAATAATTAAAACTAATTGTTAATTCCATCGCTTATACAATCATCGGAACACCAAACCCGAAATTATCTCCGTCTCCCGAACTAAAATTAATTATGAGTGTACAATTAGGTATTGGTAATTGAAAGTATTCTTTGAATAACGTTGAAGTCTACATTTTCCAGTAGTAAATTGATGATGAATTATTAAATAATTTTAAACTTCTATTGTATATTTATATTATCATTTCACATTGTGTCAAATCCGATGAAGCCTAAATTACTAGTGTGTAATTTTGAGCGCGCTCGGCTAAATATATTGTACTGATACGAAAAAAAATATCAGCATATGATAATCAGAATGTTAAAATATTTACCTTTTACCTTTTACTATTTGAACCAACTCAAAGCCATCAAAAGAGATTGACTCAGTGTCACAAGAGAGCGCTACAATATATACATTATAGAGCCATGCCTGAACCGTCTGGGTATGAACAGTTAAATACGGCGGAAGAAGAACTGCTGGGGACAAGTCCTGAGGAACAATGGTTATTTGAAGATGATGAAGGGAATCAAAATCAATTATATACAAATGCATTACCTTTGGCCAAAAGAGTTATACGGTCAAGCCCCGTATCAAGAAGTGCACCAGCTGCTATTAGACATTCTGTTTATCCAAGATATCATGACAATGATGATAATGATAATGATGAAGAAAATCAATTATTGGACCCTTTCACTGATTCTGCTGGTATAAGTGATTCACCAGGTGTTTTTTCAAATTATCAAATATCATCTGAGCCAATACGAAGAAGATCAAAAAGATCAGGTTCTATCATGTCAATGAAAACTTTAAATGATACAGTTTCAAAATTAACAAATTCATTTGCTAAATGGACCCTTAAATCAAGACCTATCGAGGGTATACCCAATGAAATTCAATATTCAGTTTTCAAACCACCTTTGAATATAGAACCTTTAAAAGAAATACCAAGTGAAGGTTTCATAAATATTGGTGATCATACAAAATCACAATTTGATAAAATTGTTGATAATGCACTTGTGGCTATTGAACAAGGTATAAAACCTAAAAGAATCGCCGCAGGATCATCTGGAAGTTATTTCATTTATAATACTAGCGGTAATATAGTTGGTGTTTTCAAACCAAAAGATGAAGAACCTTATGGTCCAATATCACCAAAATGGACAAAATGGTTACATAGAAATTTATTCCCATGTTTTTTTGGAAGAAGTTGTCTTATACCTAATTTAGGTTATATTTGTGAAACTGCTGCTAGTTTATTAGATAAACAATTACAAACAAATATTGTTCCATTTACAGATACGGTTTATATATCAAGTGATTCATTTTATTATTCATTTTGGGATAGACAATCTAAAAAACCATTAAATCCTAAAATTGGTTCTTTTCAATTATTTTTAAATGGTTATCAAGAAGCTGATAAATTTTTAAATAAATATCCATTACCTAGTACAGGTTCATGGTCATTACCATCATTTGATAATGGGAATGGATTTTTCCCAAGATTTAAAGATGATGATGAACAAATTGCAAAAGATAATAATGATAATATAGATTTAGAACAACCTCCAGTTTTTAAATGGACTCAACCTGTTATAGAACAATTTAGAGAAGAATTAGAAAAATTAGTGATTTTAGATTATATTATGAGAAATACAGATAGAGGTTTAGATAATTGGATGATTAATTTAGATTGGGAAACTAAGGAAAATGGATCTAAACATCCTAAACTTAAAATTGGAGCTATTGATTCTGGTCTTTCATGGCCTTGGAAACACCCAGATGAATGGAGATCTTATCCATTTGGTTGGTTATTTTTACCAGTTAGTATAATTGGTCAACCATTTTCAGAAAAAACAAGACAACATTTCCTACCTTTATTAACTTCAACAATTTGGTGGGAAGAATCTGCACTTTTATTTAGACAACTTTTCGCTCGTGATGATGATTTTAAAGAAAGAATGTGGAGAAAACAATGGGCTGTTATGAAAGGTCAAGCTTTTAATGTTGTTGAAACTCTTAAAGATCCTACACAGGGCCCATTAGAACTTGCAAGAAAAACAAGAATCTTGGTACATGATGAAGAAATGGAAGTCCCAGTTCATGTTCCAATTTCAATAATGTCAAATGCAATTGAAACTCCAATTAATAATAAAGTGACTAATAAGAATAATAAGCAAAAATTAGGAAACTCTTTAGAACCTATACAAGAAGATTCATTTACAGATTCAAATGAACAAGCAACATCACCAGTATCTTTACAAAACAATTGGAATGATTTATTAAATGGTGATATAAATGAATCAACATATCAAAATTCACTTTCACCATCAAGTCATCAAAAAAATCAAAATTCCACTGAATCAGCTTTAGAAGATGGTTTAACATTTGCAGAAGGTTCGATGGCTACAAAGCAAGTTATTATAGAAAGATTACAAATGGTAACTTCTAAACCACCGGTATTTACTTGGTGTTGATATAGATTACGAATAATATATTTAATTCTATCATGTAATCAACAGTGTGCTTCAGTAATTTATTTCCGAAGGAATTAAAATCTTCAAAAATTGAGAGTTTAATAGTATGGCGATTTTAAAAACAAAGTAGACACCACCAGTTTACAATCCAGATTATAGCATAATACTACACACACCATTGACTGGAAGATATCAAGATAACAACTAACTACGTGCATCATGAAAGACAGAAAAACTACTGCCCTAATCACTGGTGATTTATCAAATACTATCGGATGGTTCTCTAACTGAATAATATGGTGAACTGGGGTTTCGGCGATCCACACTGTACCTTATAAGTTATTACCAATTAAAAACGTTAGGAAGACTTATATCGTTTACAACTAACTGTTCAGAAAACGGACGATGAAGTTCCAAGGTCCAAGGTTCTTGATTCTTGATTATGGAGTTAAAAAATCAAGATCCAACTGCTGCTAATGTGGAACAGTCTATACCGGTAATCCTTAATGAGAGCTTGGAGCATTTCATTTTATTGTACTCGCTATACTCGCTAAGGTAAGAACGGTCTTGTTCAATGTCAATGTCAGGTCTCGAACCAGCATAGGCTCAATAGTAGCTTTACATGTGAATATACTTCATCTAATATTAATTCAAGTTTACCAGTTCACAAATGAATTTTGCTTATATACTATTGGGGCTCACCTAAAGATCTTAAGATTAAAGTACTACGTTGTTAACAAGAATACATGAATACATCCCATGCGGCAATGCAATTTGATTGGAACTGATTGTTTTACACATCGTACCATATAAAGAAATAGCTGCTGTTATTTATGCCTTTGTGTGGAAGTTTAGTTGTCCATTTCATCAAGAATAGGAGTTAGGAGTTGGTGAATGGAGATGTGTTGAGGTTTCATGATGAATATTCATTTATGATGTATTCCGAGATTTCAAAAACTTTATATTTATGACTTTATGGGCACCGTTTAACAATAAGAGCAAGAATCAAAATGACAAAATGGCAGAAGGTACAAATCATCTTATTATTGTTAATGCGCTTAATTATACTGGTGCTGAGATCAAAACTTTATATGTCAAATTGAGTGGCCCTCAACAATGTTTTTATCGCATCAATTATACCATTAAGCGCATAAGCCATATGAATCTCCAATAAAAACTACAATATTAGAGGAAACAATTAGGTAAAGGTTTAGGTAAAAGGGGGCTATTGAATTGCTTTCAATAAAATTATAAAAGGAGATGAATTTCTACTCAATTGAACTAGAAATTTATTGATATATATTTTTTTGACTCATCAAATTGAAGATAAATTCTAGATCTATAATTAATTATCAAAATGGCCTCAACAATTCAAACTGTTACTGAACAAACTCAAACTTTAAACGTCTCTGGATCACATCCAATTAGACATGCATTAAGTGATGTTGTTAAAACTGATGATTGGAGTGATTTTGAATTCAAACCAATTCGTGAAGCTACTGTTTCAAGAGCTATGACAAGTCGTTATTTCAAAGATTTAGATAAACATGCTGTTTCAGATGTTGTTATTATTGGTGCTGGTTCCGCTGGTATTTCAGCTGCTTATACTATTGCTAAGAATAGACCAGATTTGAAAATTACCATTATTGAACAAAATGTTTCTCCAGGTGGTGGTGCTTGGTTAGGTGGTCAATTATTTAGTGCCATGATTATGAGAAAACCAGCACATTTATTCTTGGAAGAAGTTGGTGTTGAATATGAAGATGAAGGTGATTATGTTGTTGTTAAACATGCTGCTTTATTCACTTCAACTGTTTTATCAAAAGTTTTACAATTTCCAAATGTTAAATTATTTAATGCTACAGCTGTTGAAGATTTAGTTACAAGAAATGATCCAAAAACTGGTGAATTAACCGTTGCTGGTGTTGTTACAAATTGGACTTTAGTTTCATTACATCATGATACTCAATCATGTATGGATCCAAACGTTATTGAATTAACCGGTTATAAAAATGATGGTACTCGTGATGAAAGTGTTACTCATGGTATTGTTTTATCAACAACTGGTCATGATGGTCCAATGGGTGCTACAAGTGCTAAAAGAATTGCTTCAATTGATAAAACAAAATCTTTAGGTGGTATGAGAGCTTTATCAATGAATGAAAGTGAAGGTCGTTTAGTTAGACATTCTGGTAAATACGATGGTATTAATTCAATTCATTTTGCTGGTATGGAAGTTGCTGAACTTGATGGTTTAAACCGTATGGGTCCAACATTCGGTGCTATGGCTGTTTCTGGTATCAAAGCTGCTGAAGGTATCTTGAAACATTTTGCCTAAGAAGTTAGAACCCAAGTATGGAAGCAATTTGGTGGTTGATCCATCTGCAAATAACTTTCTTTAAGATTTCTTTATATGTTAATAATGTATGTTATGATTTTTGTCATTATGTAGATATTGAGGCCAAGGGACTTTTAGGCTTAAGATTTATATTCATGTTCAGGATATTCTAGGCCAGAATTATGTATTATCTACCTTAAAAATACAGCTTCTAACCTATCCAGGATCTTTCTGAATGCTTACTTATGTCAACATTTTATTCGCTATCCGTTATCTTTATAAGTGCATTTTTGAGATCAAGAAAAATTAAAAAAAAAAAAAATCAAATTGGCCTGATCAAAAAAAAAATTGATAAGCGAATAATGGACATACTACAATGAAAAACCGAAAACTTAGTCAACTGATTTAAAACTGATTAGAACTCACCTTTTGATTCTTTCTAAATCTCAAAAAGGTTCACCAGATTCAAGGTTTATTTGCTACTGTCTTTTCATTTGCTATTCATTATACCACAGAATATTCTCTCAAAAGATCAATAGTTGACTCATGCCATTAGAACCAGCCAAAAGCATACTTTCAATACAGTCTCATGTTGTTCACGGTTACGTGGGTAATAAAGCAGCTACATTCCCACTACAATGTCAAGGATGGGATGTTGATGTTTTGAACACTGTTAATTTCTCAAACCATACAGGTTATGGCTCTGTGAGAGGTACCAAAGCTTCATCTGATGATATACAAGCTATATATGATGGGTTGAAAACTATAAATTGTAAATATGATGCATTACTTACTGGATATATCCCAGGTGATCAAGCATTGGAAGCTATAGGTGAAATAGGGCGTGATTTAAAACAGTCAAACCCAGATTCAATATGGTTATTAGATCCTGTTATGGGAGATGAAGGCCAACTTTATGTTAGTGAAACCGTTATACCAGCGTATAAAAAAATATTAATCAAAGGTGGTGTTGATGTAATTACACCAAATCAATTTGAAGCTGAATTATTAGTTGGATATAAAATTGAATCAAAAGACACACTACGTAAAGCTCTCAAAGAGTTACATAATAAATATGATGTTAAAAATGTTGCTATAACATCTTTTAAATTGGAAGAAGGCTCAAATATATTGGCTGTTGCATCATCAAAACATAAAGGTATAATAACAAGTTCATTATTTGAAATACCATTAATAGAGTCTTATTTCACCGGGGTTGGTGATTTATTCTCTTCATTGTTAATAGATAGAATATTCAGATACACAAGAGATATTAAAGATCAATATTATTTAGAAACTGCAGTGAATCAAGTTCTTACAATCATGGCTCAAGTGTTGAAAACCACTACAGAAGCTGCTGAAAAGGCACTGGGTCAAGCACCAAAGTCCAAGATGGGAGCTGCATCGATCATGAAAGAATGTGAATTGAAACTGATAGAGTGTCGTGATATTTATGAGCATACAGAACAAAAGTTTAAGGCATTTGCATTATAATAAAAGTACAATAAAGTGTAATAAAAGTGTAATAATTTGACATTATTGTAGTTTTCCATTTCCGAGGTGAGTCATCATGTGCTTTTGCACAACGAGAAAGTCCGAAATCCGGTCCATAATTAACTCATAAAGTGAAAAATGACATAAACAGATAATCAAATAAATACAAAAAGTTACTCACATTCTTCAATTATTCAAGAGAAAGTGACGGATCACAGATCATAACACTGGTTTAAAGTACATTCAAACAAAGTTCATTCTGTTTTATCTTAAAATCCAATAATCAGAACTTCAAAGTGTTTTAAATAATTCAAATCACACACACGACACAATAGGTGATGACTTCCAAAAATGCACTAGATGACAACCCTTTAGTGGAGCATACAAGACGTTTACCTTTAAAAAATTCATTACCAACTAGAAAATCATATTCGCCAAGTCCTCAAAGATCTATAAGTGAACTCAATACAAATATAACTACAGAAGATGATGAATGTATACCAAAATTAATTCATAGATGGAATCATAAATATTCCATATTATCCACAATAGCATTTCCAAATTCAGGTTTGTTATTTTGTGGTACACAAGATCATCAAATTTTAGTATTAGATATGGTAACTTTTGAGAAAAAACAAAGTTTAATTGGTCATACTGGTTCTGTCTTATGTTTAACTAAATCTGCTGATGAAAAATATTTATTTTCTGGGGGTTCAGATTCCTTAGTTAAAGTTTGGGATGTTACACAAATGAAAGAAACTCATACTATTTATTCATTAGTCGATATAGGTGATATCTTTAGTTTAGCATGGTCAAGTTCATTAAATACAATTTATTTTGGTGCTCAAAATGCATCAATTTTATTTGTTCATCTTTTACAAAGTATACCCAAAGATGATCCAAGTGGATTACCATCACAAAGATTTGACAAGTTTTTCGATTCTAAAGGTCCAACAGGTGATGTTCATCCATTATCACATAGAAAGAACAATGGTGAATTAAAATCACGTTTAATTGAAATTCCATCTTCAAATATTATTCCATATGCTCATAATGGATTTGTTTATTCAATGGAAATTAATGATCGTACATTGATAACAGGTGGTGGTGATGGTGAAGTCAAAATATGGGATTTAAATTCCAGAGGATTAACTCTAGTGAAATCATTAGATAATGATGAAAGTGTTTTATCTTTAACAAGAAATGAATCATTTCTTTATTGTGGGTTATCAGATGGTCAATTGAAAGTTTGGGATTTGAATACATATCAACAAATAAGATCTATAGGAAGTGATACAAATGCAATTATGTCCATTGCTGCAACTTCGTCATGTATTTATAAAGGTACTTCAAATGGTGTCATTAAATGGAAATTTGGCAAAGAATGTAAAGAATTATGGGATGCTCATCAAGGTTCTGTTTTATCATCTGAGATTTGTTATAGGAAGGGGAAAGCACTTTTAATTACTGGTGGTAATGATGCATCCGTTGCCATATGGGAAATTCCTACTGATGATAATGGGCCTTTAAGAAGAGCTTCAATTGCAGCAGTTGATAACGATTCATTATTGAAAACTTTAGGTCAGATTGTTTCATTTAAAACTGTTTCCAAGAAACCAGAATATTTTATTGATGAATCACGTCGTTGTGCTGCATTTTTAACAAAATTATTTAATCAATTTGGTGCAGATTCTGAAATAATACCTGTGGAAAATGGTAATCCTATAGTTTATGGTTGTTTTAAAGGTAAAGAATCCAATAAAAAGATTCCAAGAATCTTATGGTATGGTCATTATGATGTTATTGAAGCAGATGATACCAGTGCTTGGAATTATGATCCTTTTAAAATTACAGCTACAGATGGTTATCTTTATGGTAGAGGTGTTAGTGATAATAAAGGTCCAATATTAGCTGCTATATATGCAGTTGCTGAATTGTTACAGACTGGTGATTTAAATGCTGATATTGTATTCTTGATTGAAGGTGAAGAAGAATGTGGTTCATTTGGATTCCAAGATGCAGTTCAAAGAAATCATGAGATTATTGGTGATATTGATTGGGTGTTATTAAGTAATTCCTATTGGTTGGATGAAAACATTCCATGTTTAAATTATGGATTAAGAGGTGTTATAAGTGCATCTGTGGAAATTAATAGTGATAAACCTGATAGACATTCAGGTGTTGATGGTGGTGTCTCTAGAGAACCTACTATTGATTTGGTGAATCTTTTATCAACTTTAACTACTAAGAATGGTACAGTTCAAATACCAAATTTCTATGAACCAATTCAACAACAATTAACACCAGAAGAACAAAGATTATATAAAGAAATCACCACTAAAGCTGATATAAATATTAGCAGAGAAACACTTTTGGCTAAATGGAAATATCCATCATTATCTATTCATAAAATTGAAGTTTCAGGTCCAAATAATAATACAGTCATTCCAAGATCTAGTAAAGCTTCAGTATCAATTCGTATTGTTCCAGAACAAAACGTTGAAGAGATTAAAACATCATTCATAAATTATTTAGAAAGTTCATTTAAAGATTTTGATTCAGATAATCAATTAAAGATTAAAATTGTTCATGAATCAGAACCTTGGTTAGGTGATCCAACAAATTCAGCATTCAAAATTCTAAGTAAAGCAGTTTCAGAAGAATGGGGTATTGAACCATTATACATTAGAGAAGGTGGTTCTATTCCATCAGTTAGATTTTTGGAAAAAATTTGTAAAGCACCAGCTGCACAAATTCCATGTGGTCAATCAACAGATAATGCACATCTTAATAATGAAAAGCTCCGTGTTACTAATTTATATGCTCTTCGCAGAATTTTGAAAAAAGCATTTAAAGAACTTCCAAGCAGAAGCACATTAGCATGATCATAATATTTTTAAAGCACTTGACTGTGTGATATATTTATAATTTTAAAGAGTTTTTTTCTACATCGCATCAATTAATTGTATAGAGTTTTATTGCATATTCATGAGTTATTATAGTTTTATAGTAGTTATATGTGCGCGAATTTTGACATGACTATATGTCAAAATAAGATAAGATCAACAAGATTTAAGCAATTAAGTGTCAGATCGATTATAGCATTGAAAGAGATCAGAAATGAGCCAACAATTGTCACTGCTTGATCTTGGATCTGATATCATTGAGTCTGAAGTCATTCCTCATTTGTCACCAGAAGACATCCAGTCTTTAAAATTGACCTCAAAGTCCTTAAATGAATTGGTGGCGCGTTCATCAGTTGTATGGCATGAGCTTTATAAAAAAACATTTGGAACCAAACCAACAGCATTTTCACTAAACAAATGGCCTGATTTATATTCATTGAGAGCTAAGGGTAAATTATACACTTGGGGTGCTATGAGTAGTGGGAGGTTGGGTTTATCAAGTCAAGATGTTCCAGCAAACAATATAGATAGACAAGGGTTTTCAGCAGGTGTTGTAAAACCAACTCAAGTCCCAGGTATTGATGATGTATTGGCTGATGTTTCAGCAGGTGGTTTCAGTTTCCAAATACTTACTGGTAAAGGTGAGATATATTCAACAGGATCTTATCATGCTGGTCATTCATCAGGTCCTGGTCCAAATGAAAGTGATCATAATGAGTTTCAAGAACAAATGAGACTACAAGAACAGATCTTTATAACACCAATTAGAAGAGGTGGAAGAGTGATAAATCCATTAGTAGGAATGCCATTAGGAAATCCTAGACGTGTTCCAATATCTGAACCACAACCAATGCCTGGTGCATTCCCATCATCTCCATATCAAATTCCAGAACAAGTTGAAGTGGAAAACAAGTCAAAAATTGAAAATAGATTCTTGAAGAGGGAAACATCTGGTAATCTTGATGATACAAAATTTGTTAGTGTAAGTTCAGGTAGATCTCATTTCATAGCTCTTGATACATCAGGTAATTTATGGAGTTGGGATGGTGGTGAATATGGTGTTAAAATACGGTTTGAAGATAAGAATGGGATTAATTTAATTCAAAATGGACATGTTGTTTTAAAAGCTGCTGCTGGTTGGAGTTCAAGTGTTGCATATATTTATAATTATGGTCTTGTTTATTGGAAACAAAGAGATCCGTTGAAAAAAGATGATACCGATGCAAGGGCACATCATAGACTAATACCGAAAACTGGGGATATAAAAGGTTCTGAAAGAGTTGTTGATTTTTTCGCAGGTGATGAGTTTATTATTTATGTTACTGCTGAAGGTAAAGTTTATAGAAATGATATGATTGGTGAAGAATCAATATTATTAGAAAAATTTCATAATCATTTAAAGCTTAATGCAAACTCTTTAGCACCAAAATTTACAAGTTTAAGTGGGAATTTCAATCATTTTGCAGTGTTTTCCAATGAAGATATTGTATTGATAGGATCAAAAAACAGTGATGAACCTGAAATTATTGAAGAATTACAACATAAAGAATGTATAAGTTTAGCAGTTGGTGATTATCATTTTCTGGCATTATTGAAAGATGGTACTGTATTGTCTTGGGGATTAGAATCAAATAGTTGTGGATGTTTAGGTCTTGGTAAAGAAGAACCAAATTTTATATGGGAAAATAATTCAAGAAGAGTTCGTAAACCAACAAAGATTGATGTTGAAGGAAAAGTTGTTGCAATTGCAGCTGCAGGATGGCAATCAAGTGCAATAATTAGTGATGTATAAACTACAAATTCAATGTACAAAGTACCAGCTTCATTAATTCATAAGGTAATTATATATATATCATTTCAAATTTTTGGTTGCTAAATTAAGTCCAAATATTTGGCATGATGTTTAGCATGATCAGCAGTGAAAGAACTAATGAAATAATAAGAATGATCAAATCCATCAACTAAATTTAAGTTAACTTTACCTCCAAATTTTGTACCTTTAGAAGCTTCATAAAAGTTTTCTGGTAATAATTGATAATCTCTATAATAAAATGGATCACCTTTACCAACGTGAATTAGAATTTCTGGAGTTGGACCATCATATTTAGCTAATAATTCAGTTGGATCATATTTAGCCCAAGCAGATTTATCATCACCTAAATAAGCACCAAAATTTTTTTCACCCCATTGAGCTTTAATAGGATTTGAAATTGGTGAAAATGCAGAAACAGATTTATATTTACCAGGATTTTGTAAAAATCCAGATAAAGCACCATAACCACCCATTGAATGACCAGTAATTGAAACATTTTCAAAATTTAAATTTTCAAATTCATCTTGTAATAAAGGTTGAATTTCTTCATGAACATATGAATACATACGATAATTGTTTTTATATTTATCAGTTGTAGCATCAACATAGAAACCAGCACCAGTACCATGATCCCATGAATCATCTTCACCTTCAACATTTGCACCTCTTGGAGAAGTATCTGGGAAGACAATAGCAAAACCATATCTATCAGCATGTGGTTGCCAATAAGCTTTTTCTGAAGCATTGTTTGGAGTACAAGTTAAACCTGATAAATAGATCAAGACAGGAACAGTTTTTTTAGCTGATTTTTCATAAGTTTTTGGTAAATAAACATTTAAATCCATTTTAGTTTGTGTTTGCTTTGATTGATGTGATAATTTAAGCAATTTACCACCAAAAGTGGTGATTGTAGATTCTGTTTTGAAAACTGACATTGTGCTAAGAGATCAATTGAGGAAGTTTATCTATATTAAGAGATTCAATTGAGTATATTCAGTTGTGAAATCAAGAGTTCAATTGATTGAAATTAAGGGACTTTTCGTTTTCTTTTATACCCTTACACTCTCGGAACTCGCACTGTTGATGATTTTCATTGGTGCTTATCTCAGGGTACAAAAACGACGCAAAACACTGACTAAGTGGATTAAATTGGTAGAAATTAATATATTTAAATAGCAGAAATCCTAAACAATATACTGACATGATAATTATGGTTTCCTAGTAACAATTACGTTGTCAATCGAGTAATTTATCACCAAAATCACTTTGATGTTACCCAGACAACTTTTTGTGAATATGTGCTCGCTGCAAAATGGCTTAAAAGAGACAAATTATCCTGAAGTTGAAGGGAAAGTGTTAGCAATTTAAATAGGAATAAAAGTATTTAATAGTAGTTAATTAATCATTAATGTTCTTTAAGTTACATTCTTGGTTGTTGTACGTTGATCTACACAGAAATTTTGAAAAAGATCATATAAAATTCATATAATTTGATTCATTGATATTCTAAGAAGCAAAGCAGCATAATTTAAGCACATGTGTTAAGCTTATTTAGATTTCTTTAAACCTGAACCTAATGGTTTACCACCTTTTAATTGAGCAGCGGCAGCTTTTCTGGCAGCAGCATCAGCTTTTTGCTTTTCTTTGAATGCTTGTTCTTCTGGATCTAAATCATCTTGAGATTTCTTCTTTTGTTTTAAAGCTATGTGTATATTTGTCAGTTAAAAGCTCAAAGAAGCACACAAATACCTATGTGAATCAATATTTCACTTACGTTTTAATTTACCACCTTGACGACCTGACATTATGGAATAAGTTGTATATGGATACCAAAACAAGAGCTAAAATTATGACATTTGACAAGTTTTTGATTTGACTTTTTTTTTTTTGATGAGAAAAAAATTGCAAGCGTTGGTAATGACACGAAAGACTGACAGAATGAATACCGATTTTTCATTTAATTTCATTTATATTTCTACAAATTTTATAACATAATAATCTCAAAATATTCATTAATTAACTACTTACTATATAAATCATAAAGGATAGATAAATGCCTTGTTTTCCAAATCTGTCAAATCCAAAGACGCAACATTAACAACAAATTCAACATCACTATCTTCAACAACACCAACTTTTTGGTTTTCACTTAAATTACTTAATCTTTCTTGATTACGTTTATTCAAGATAAAACGAATAACCAATGCTAATAAAGGTGCTGTGAAGAATGATAGAACAATCTGAACAGCCCAAGCTGGATAATATCTTGGTCCTGATGATTCAGTCCATAATTGTGGAGAAATAATATTTGCAATACAATACCAAAACATTATAACTGCATTTCTTGTGATTTTTTTAGTATGACCTGAACATGATGTACTATTCCATGAAAACATACAAATCCATGGGATACCAAAAACTGGGGAAGCTAATGATAATGCAGCTAATAAACCAACTTTATTAGACCATGGTAAAGCAGCTGCAACTATACTACCAACAAATGAAGGTAATGACCAAAATACAACTGAATATGCAGTTATATTAGCAAAACGATATAGGAAAAAACTTGCAATTAAACAACAGATAACTGCAAACCCACCTGATGCAACACTAACCAATGTTGAATTTAAATTTGAAATACCACCCATACCTTTAAATAATAAATTTTGTTGATATGGTAAATTATTTGCCAATTGTTGTAAAAAGATAAAACTTGCAAATAACCAAGTGATTGGATCTTTTAAAGCTTCAATGAATTGATATTTTTTAAAAGTTTTTTGTTCAATTGATGCACCTGTGGTGGATTGAACTCTTCTAATAACCCAAATTCTTTCTTCAATTGATAAAAATTTTGCAGTTGATGGATTATTTGGATAAATTAAGAAAACTAAAACTGTTAATAAGAATGTTAATCCACCAATGATAATCATAAAAATTCTCCATGCATGAATTGAAGATTTTGCAAAAAGAACACCATAAGCAATAAACCCAGTTGGAATTGTAACACCAAGACAAGTTGAATAAAAAATTGGTGCAGTAGCAGCTTTTTCCTTTGCAGTTAAAAATTGACCCATTGTAATGTTTAATAAAGTTAAAACAACACTTTCAACAAATCCCAAGAAGAATCTTAATACAATAACACCAGCATAATTAAAAGCAGCACAATGTAAGAAGATAATAATTGTCCACAAAGAAGTTAAAATGAATAAAAATCTACCAACTGGTAATTTTGCTAATAAATAATTCCCTGGTAATTGACCTGCAATATAACCAACATAAAAAATTGTATTAACATTGTTATATTTATCTTGATCTAATCCAGTATCATCCCAAAATTCAAAAATTGAAGCATATGAAAGGGTAGCTTTGTCCATATATAATAATAAATTTGCTAAACAAACCAATGACATGATTATCCATGTAACTTTTCTAGATAATTTAGCTTCTTGTTCAGGTGTTATTTCTGGTACAGTGGAATCATATTGTTCTTGAAATTTTAAAGTAGCATCTGCATCTTTAGATCTAACAATTTTATAACCTTTTTCTTGAACTTCTTCTTTAGAAATGATATTTGTTTGTATACCAGCTTTATCTTCTAAATCATTTGAAGGTGAATGTGTACTTGACATGGCTGAAAGGTGTTAATGTACTGAACTTCTATTGATAATCAACTGGAGATTAGAACTGATGGGGATCTTGTGGTTTATATACCCGTTGATATAGATTGAACCTTGATTTTGAAAATAATTTTAAACGTTTTAGCTTTTAATACCGTTATCTGAAAGGCAAATTGAATAAGACTCCACAGTTTGAATAGTTTCTTTAATGAGTTAAGTTCATTCTTGAATATTGAAAATATTTATTCGTTCAGATAATTGATATTCATCATCTATATCTTTTCCTGCAAACGAGCCTCAGTTACGGGATTGACTTCTTTCGATTACAGATTGTCCAACTAGTAAGCAGCATTTAAAACGTCTTTTAAAGATCATATGAAATGATTGGATGATGGGGTGATAATTGATTGAAAATATTTTTAGGCATGTATGACATGTGAGTTGATACTTGTGTTTAACTCCAGATCAGAAGACACAATTCAAATTTACGCTTTATCTTATCGTCGATATCGAGAAGCACTAGCACAATTCGCAGATTCCAGGCCCTACACTTAGAACAAGGTAAATATTGCAATCTCGATTCTATCGTTACCTGTATCTCATCTTGATAAATAACAATAGCTTATGTACTCGGTCTTAAGACAGTTAATTAAAAGATAAATGAGTCAATTTGACACACAATTATTTCAACGGTTTTTTTAAACTTTATGCGTTTGTGCAATTGAAATGAAAAATTGCTAATTGCACGTGATTATTTTATAAAATTTTGTGTCAAATGTGGCATTATAAACTCAATGGAGGGACATATGGAGGGACGGTTGTATTATAAGTACTTTTACGAGATCTTTGATGGAATGTGATTAGAATGTACTAGTGGTTTTACTGTTTATTAGAGGTTGAATCGGTCTCTAGTATGACGTTAATCTTCATCTCATAATAACAAGTAATGTTAAGTGTTAAGTGTGTAATGGATCATATAAGTTCATAATCATTCTAGAGCTGTGATAATATTTAACTGATACTGTGAATAATTCATTATTACTGTCCACTTATTACGCCATATACAATCCAGGATTGCCATATCTCGAAAAATATGCTCTTAACATACTTTCCTAGCTGAAGTGGAATCAATCAAATACGTCGATTAAGCCACTATTCCATCATCTTTTAATTAAAAGTACAAACTGATATTAAAGAATAATTTTTTAACTTTATTAAATCTGGTCATACAATTACAATAAATAATATTCCTTTCAATCACAATTTGGATCCCACTTTATAATTATTTCTTACCCAATAATTGATTCTTCTTTGATGTCCACTCCAAAATGCATTTTCCCATTCTTCATCAAATGGTGGTAATTTTCTACCTGGACCTTCATTTCCAGCTAATAATCTTACTGTTTCAAAATATTGTTTAAAATCAGGAACTAAAGCTGAATATTTTGGGGTATCACCTCTTTCTTTTAATCTTTGTTCTTCCCATTCATATTGATCTTTTTTGGAAGGAAGTTTAACTCTACCTGCTAAATATCTTGCACTTAATACAGCTTGCCATAGGAAAGCTTTGAAAGTTAAACCTGCAGCTATATTACCAACGAAAGTCAAAGTTGGATCTTCAATATTCAGCACATGTTGATAAATATGTTTCACTCTATGTTCAGTTCTTTCCAAGTGTGGTAAAAATGGATAACTTACTGTATATCCAGTACCAAAAATTATTGCATCAATATCTTCTTCTTTAGATCCATCTTCAAAAATTGCAGTATCATTTTCAATTTTAACTAAATTTTTTTGTTTTCTAACATTTGGATGATCAAAAGCATACCAACCAAAATAAACATGTGGAACAGATGTACTTCTAACTGAAGAGATCACTTGTCCTTTAACAACATTAACAATATCTTGAACTGTATCCTGTGAAGAAATTGAACCAGCAACAACAATGGTTTTCTTATTTCTAAACTCTTCTCTGGTTCTATATGCTTTTGTATGAATAACAGTTTTACCTGGTGTTTGATAAAATTGATCCAATCCTTCAACATATGGAATATATGGTACATCATAACGACCACTTGCCACTACCACAGCATCAAATGATTCTTTCCATAGATAATCTTGAGTTTTACCAAACTTTCTTAATAATATATCCCATTGATTTGTGGATTTATTTTTTTCAACTAATTCAACAGAAGTATCAAATTCTAATAAATCATCTAATTTTTTGGATTGATAAATGTTTTGAACCCATTTTTTAATCTTAGTATTATGTCTAAATGGTGTATTTGGTCCATATTTACTAACTGATAATTCTGATCCTCCTTGGGGAAATGGTTCATGAGGAAATTCCATTGTTTGATAATGAACATTTGATTCTAAATATGAATAAGTAGCTGTATCAATGAATCTTTGTCTTTTAGATTTTGGTGCATATTTTGGTAATTCATCCCAATTAGGTATTTCTTGATCTAAAGGTTTATCAGCCGTTCTTGTTGCTAAAGATTTAAGATTTTTTGGTAATGGTTCAGGTGGGCTTTCATCATAGATCCAACAACCACCAGCTTCACTTCTTCTTTCAAATACTCTTATTCTGTCGAAATGTTGTTCTTGTACTAATGCATCAAGTGCTATGACACCAGAAGGTCCTGCACCGATTACTGCAACTGATTTAACCATTATCTCTATACGTCAGAAAACTTTTTCACTGTTGTGTCACTTTGGTTAACGAGAGTTCAGGGATCTTTCAAATATTTATACAAAATAACCAGCACCAAAAACAAGAATCAGTCTCACTTTGCAAATCTTTTCAAAGACCGAATGAAGAATTAAACTGTAAGATGTTGAAACTTGACTACTTCTTTAAAAGGATCAAAAGCACCAAAATCACCAAAGACGTTACTGATGTTGTCGCGAAAAGTGGTGATCTTTCTTATGTGGCTTTTCTTTAACTATGAATAAATATCTCCAGTTTCGAAAAAAGCTGATGCTGAGGCTTGATTTGACTAGGAAGAGAAAATGGTAATTGGCGCGATGCTTGTGATGTTAATATGATATAAATAATTAAAGATGTGCTATCTTTTTAGTATTCCATTGATGGGGTATGGATTTATGTCTCAAGAATGAGTGATTTGGAGAAGAACAGTGCAACTGTCAATCAAGATCTAGGATCTATTGAATCAAATGGCTCTAACTGGTCCAGTACAGAGGTAAAGGAAAGCTGTACTGAAAACAGATTTATCAGTTTTATTGTTGTTAACATTAGGATTAACCGTTTTCCAATTTGATCGTATGAATCTTGCAAGTGCATTAACTGGTGGTTTCCAAAAAGATGTACATGTTGAACAAAATGAAATTAATATTGGTAATGAATTAATGTTTTTGGGGATCTTTCTAGGTGAAATTCCATCAAATATTTTATTAATGAAAGTTGGACCAAGAAAATGGTTACCTTTTCAAGTATTAGTCTTTGGATTTGTTGCTATAATGCAAATTTTCATGAAGAATAGATCAGGATTTTATGCATCAAGATTCATGTTGGGTATTGCTGAAAGTGGATATATACCAGGTGGTTGTTATATCATTTCAAATTGGTATAAGAGTTCTGAAAGAGCTAGAAGAACTTCCATTTATTTCTTTGGTATGTTTGGTGGGTATGCCATATCACCAGTCTTATGTTCAGCTATTTTGTTACTTGCAGACAAAAGAAATATTGCTGGATGGAGATGGATTTTCCTTTTAGAGGGTTTATTAACTTTAGTTGTTGCTTTTATAATGTTATTATTCTTACCAGGATCACCAAAAAATCCATATCCATTATTCACCAAAAAATTGTCATTATTCAATGAACGTGATATTCATATTTTACAAAATAGATTAGATGAAAAATCATCAGAGCAGTTGAATCCAATAAAGCTCAGTCATCTAAAGAAAACATTACTTGAATGGAGACGTTATCCACATTTATTTGCTACTGAGATAGTCTTTGGAACTTGGGCACCATTAACAACATATACACCAACTATATTATTCACATCTGGATTTTCAAGAGTCTCTGCGAATGCACTTACAGCTATAGGTGGTGGGTTAGCTTTGGTTGTTGTTTTCATATTCGCTTATGTTAATTATGTTTCCAGGAAAAGAGGTATCACAGTACTTATTGCTACAGCTTCATATGGTATTATTCTAATTATACATAGACAAGTGTTACCACAAGTTTCTCATGATAAATGGAAAGTATTTGGATTATGGACTTTAGTTAACGCATTTGCTGTTGGTTATCATCCGATTCAAAATACTTGGTTACAACTAAACTGTGATTCTCCACAGGAAAGAAGTATTTCAATTGCACTTTGGGTAATGTTTGCCATGATTGGACTAATGAGTGGATCTCAGTTGTTTAGACAAGATGATAAACCTTTATATCAAAAGGGAACTTTAGCCATGATTTGTATGGTTTTTGGAGGATTCCTCATATCCTTGGGACAGTATCTCTTATACTATCATCTAAACAGGAAAAAGCAATCAAATGAGCGTAAATGGCTATTATAAAATGATATTTGACTCATTAATTTGTGAATATTTTGTAGTTTATACTGATTACATAACCATGACATAAGCAAATCAGGAACGTTTTTTTTTTATTTTTATTTTTATTTTTACTTTTGCGAATCGCCTCGTTTAAAACGTTTAAAAAACCAAAAATTTAATTGTTTTCTATTAACATCAGCTCATTTTAATTGTATTTAAAGAACAGCTCAACTTTTTCTTTGAAAGGAAGATCAGACTACAAATTTGTCAAACTCCAAAACTCCTATTTATACACAGAGAAATTCTTTTTTCTCTTTTTCCATTCATTTATACCCCTAATATCATTGGATCTCAAAAAAGTTGTTATTCGAGATCTGAATCTGGATCTATATTATATTAATAAAAAGATTCCAAAAGCTCATCATGGCTACAATTACACATAGAAAAAACCCTTCACAACCAATAACTTTCCAAACACCTCCAGCAGATGCTCCAATTGAAAAATTAAATGATTTTTATTGGACAAATGAAACTGAACCTCATACAATTAGAAGAAAATTAATATTGAAAAAATATCCAAAAATTACAGAACTTTGTGGACCTGAACCTTTAACTAAATATATTATTTTCGGAGTTGTTTCATTACAATTATCAATTGCTTATTATTTAAGAAATACTCCATTTTTAAGTTGGAAATTCTTTTTGTTAAGTTATATAATTGGTGCTACTGCAAATCAAAATGTCTTTTTAGCTATTCATGAATTAACTCATAATTTAGCATTTAAAAAACCATTACATAACAAATTATATGCAATTTTCACAAATATTCCAATTGGTATACCTTATTCAGCTTCTTTCCAACCTTATCATCAATTACATCATAAATATTTAGGTGATGAAGTTTTAGATACTGATGTCCCAACAAAATATGAAGCTATAGTTTTATCAAATGTCTTGGGGAAATCATTTTTTGCAACTTTCCAAATCTTATTTTATGCTTTAAGACCAATGTTTATTACACAAATTAAATTTACTTATATTCATTTACTTAACGTCTTGGTTCAACTATTTGTTGATTTCTTAATTGTGAAATACTGGGGTTGGAAATCATTAAGTTATTTCATCTTTAGTTCATTTTTAGCTGGTTCTTTACATCCATGTTCAGGTCATTTCATTGCTGAACATTATATCATGGATCCACCAAAGACTTATAACAGATATAAAGATCATCCACCTTTAGAAACTTATTCATATTATGGTGCCTTAAATTTAGTTACATGGAATGTTGGTCTACATAATGAACATCATGATTTCCCATATGTTGCTTGGTCAAAACTTCATAAATTGAATGAAGTTGCTAATGAGTTTTATTGTGATTTACCAAAACATGATTCATGGACTATGGTTATTGTTAACTTCATTCTTGATAAAAATGTCTTATTATACAATAGAGTTAAAAGAGAAACTGCAAAGAAATAAAATCCATAAAATTATCATTATTTATAAACTATATATGTACGAATTGGGCTGGAGAATAGAGGTATAACAAAATATACAAAACATATCATTATTTATACGAAAATTGTAGTCACCAGATAGTCATCTAAAATGCTGACATGTAACTGTCGTCGTATTCGTTCAATTTGATGTGAAGTATCCATGCTCAATGCTGAGATCCTCATACAAAAAATAATTAGCGAAAAGCAAAAAATAAAAAAAAAAAAAACCTTTAATCTCCTGATAATTTAACTAACAAATTTTGTCAAACGGTAGAAACGATTCGAACTTTATCAATTCTAGTTTTGAACAAGATCAGTTGTCACAAAAGAACGAAGTGTTAAACGATAAATCATTGATTGTCAATTGTATATAAACACAGACAGGAAACCGTTGAATTCGTTGTATCTTTATCAAAACTTAATCATTAATACTCAAGTACAATAGAATTGACAATATGCCTTTCACTGATCAAACATCACCAAATGCCCCAATTAGGGAAAAGATGGAAGCTTTAATCCGTCAAAAACAACAAGAAATCACTAAAGGTCTTGAAGCTTTAGAACCAACTGCTAGATTCTTTGCTGATTCTTGGTCTCGTGGTGAAAGTGCTGGAGGTGGTACTTCATGTGTTATTCAAGATGGTGAAGTTTTTGAAAAAGGTGGTGTGAATATTAGTGTTGTTTATGGTTCATTACCTCCAAAAGCTGTTGAAAGAATGAGAGCTGATCATAAAAATTTAAAATTCCCAAAAGAAGGTAATATTCCATTTTATGCTTGTGGATTATCAATGGTTATTCATCCAAAAAATCCTCATGCTCCAACTACACATTTAAATTATCGTTATTTTGAAACTTGGAATGAAGATGGCACTCCACAAACTTGGTGGTTTGGTGGTGGTGCTGATTTAACTCCTTCATATCTTTATGAAGAAGATGCTAAATTATTCCATCAAAAACATAAAGATGCATTAGATAAACATGATACTTCATTATATCCTAAATATAAGAAATGGTGTGATGAATATTTCTTAATTAAACATAGACAAGAAACAAGAGGTATTGGTGGTATTTTCTTTGATGATTTTGATGATAGAAAACCTGAAGAAATTTTATCAATTGTTTCAGATTGTTTTGATGCATTTTTACCTTCATATGTTCCAACTATTGAAAAGAGAAAAGACCAACCATTTACTGAAGAAGAAAGAAATTGGCAACAATTGAGAAGAGGTAGATATGTTGAATTTAATTTGGTTTTAGATAGAGGTACTCAATTTGGTTTACAAACACCAGGTTCAAGAGTAGAAAGTATCTTGATGTCTTTACCAGCTACTGCAAGCTGGGCTTACAACCATCAACCAGAAGAAGGTTCCAGAGAAGCAGAGTTGATCCAAGTCTTAAAGAACCCAAGAGAATGGGTTTGATAATGTGTATAGATGTTGATGTTTATGAATCGATGACGTTTTCATGTTTATATACAAAGTTTCGCGTACCTTTATTTAAAAAGTTTCGCGTGTAGAGCAAAATTAATTTGAAAGGTAAACAAAAGCTTTTTGACTTTCCACATACAAACTCTTTATTGAATAGAAATCTTTAACTACTTGACGATGACGGACAGAGATGAGCTAGTAAGTTTTATTATGCACTAAGAAGTTCAAATTGTACTAACTTTGTTGTTTCAGGGACTCACTTTTGATGGGTTTATTCATGAATTTGAAGGTGTTAGAGGTAAGTTTTATAACAATACAAGAAAATGGCTGTGCAACTTATACTAACTAAATCAAGTTGATAATTTCACCACTACAAAGCAGTTAGTAAAGCTTTACTTGCTTACTCATGCCCATGCTGATCACTTGAAAGGGTTGGATTCCAGTTTTAGTGGTCATCCAGTATATTGTTCAGAAATCACCAAGGAATTATTGAAATTGAATCCTAAATATAGTAGAAGTTGGCCATCTCTTAGACCATTGAAGGAAAATCAAAGACACACAGTTCCTTTGAAGGATGGTGTTTCAATAAATTTGACTTTAATCCCAGCTAGACATTGTCCTGGTGCTGTTATGTTCTTAGTTGAATCAAATGAGAAATCAATTTTAATTACTGGTGATATTAGAGCTGAAAGGGATTGGGTTGGATCATTACCAAGAAATGAATTTTTATTCCCATATACAACTTCTTTGAAAAAATTTGATAATATTTATTTAGATACAACATTTGGTTATAGACAAGAACCTTTTATTGATATGAAATCAAATTATTTCGGATTACAAGCTTTATGTGAAGTTATGAAATTTTATCCAATGGATGATGATACTTTTTCATTCCATTTTGCTGATTCAACAATTGGATATGAAGAAGCTTGGATTAGAATTATTAGTTTATTTGGTGGTAAAATGCATTCGAATAACGATCTTTATAAAAGATTAGAACTTTTATCTAATTCAAATGAATATGAATATAAAGATCGTATTGGTAAGATCAAATCATTGGATCCAAAATCAAAATTCCATTGTTGTGGTATAAGACCATCTCAATGTAGTGGTCATATTTCCAAATTTCCTGTCAGATTAAAACATTCAATTGATATTAGTTATGAAGATATGCTTAATATTACACATCCATTACCATGGAGTCAATTTAGTGATGTTGCAATTTTCCAAGAAGAATTACCTCAGGGTCATAAAATTTATAAAATTGATGATATTCCTCATTTATTACCAAATGGTAAAGATTATTTATTAAGAAATGAAATTAGATTTTTCTTTAGTCGTCATTCATCTTATGAAGAATGCAGACATTTCATTAGTTTATTCAATGTTGATGATGTTTACCCATTAACAGAGTCACCAAAATCTTGGGCAAGAGGATTTCAAATGAAGAGACAATTTGGTGATTTATTGAATAAAAGTGGTGATTTAATTTATGATTTACATTCAACTGCTGTTTATGGACCAGCTCCTACAGGATTGAACACTCCACAAAGAATTGATAAATTTAGTGAATCATTTCTAAGAAGTGTAACAGATGGATCAAGAGACGTTGCACAACCTTCTGGTGAATTTGAGTTCAGAGGTATTGCTGGTGTTCATAACGCTGCTTTTAGACAATCATTCACTGATGAAGAAATGCAATTTATGGGTCAATATTCTCATTTAGTTCGTGAAGGTAGACATTTAGCTGGTGTGAATCAATATCGTGTTGAAAGGGGTATTAGAGCATTAGGTCCTCAATATCTAAATAGATATAGAGATCGTGATCATGAAGAACATCGAATTGATACACAGGATGGGTCAGATGACAGTGATGAAGATGACTTAGAATCTGCAATGCGAAAATTTAATAGAACCAGAAGTAACTTGAATTCCAGAAGAGGGAGTTTTAATAATAATGATGATGATGAAGATCACGATGATGATCTACCAGGAACGGGTGTAAATTCAAACAACACTGTTTCATCATCAACAAGAGTATTAGTACCATCACCACCAAAAAGAGAACCTTTAACTGAAAAATCAGTTGACAACACACAAAATCAACAAAACGGTCCAAAACGTCAACGTACAGCAAAAACTGAAGCACCATTACAAGTTATCAATCTTGATACACAACAAGAATCAGTCGTCCAATTAGAACCACCAGTTGACTTAGAGTCACAAAAAGCAAAATCATCAAATCAATTAGCACCAAAAAATGAACCGAATGAGACCACTTTAGAAGCCCCAACTAGATCGTTTTTGGTAAGAAGAATATCAGAATCTCCGTTAAAATCAAGCTATGAAAGACAAATCACAGATATCAATTTAGAAAATGTTTCTAGAATTGAACAATCTATTGTTAACGCAGATGGACAAGGATTTTTTGAATACCAATTAAAATCTTGTAAAAAGAAATAAACATGGACGCTCTTAATCATTAAACATTTAGAAACGTAATTGTAATATTTGACTACAAGATCATGATTACCATGCTCTATTATTTTAAACCAACGTAACGTAATCCATTAAAAAAATCAACTTGAAGTTGACAACTTTTTTCCTTTATAAAACCCTCTATGACAAACTATAATACAAAATACATAATGCAACAACTCTTTCTTCTTCCACTTGAAAACCAATTTCCTTTGTTTCAATTTTCTCTCCATTGATGACCACACTTAACACACTTCAAGAAAGTAGTCATAGGTTCATCCGCTGATCTAATTTGCAATTGGAAGAAATATGCTTTATCATTACCACAAGAATCAATCGGACATTGTGCAGCAGTTTGATCAACATTATCCCAAGCACCATCACCACCTAAAACATCATCAATTTGTTTGGTTGGTAATTCTTTTCTATCAAAAATCTCCACACCAGCTATTGGGAATTCATATGGACAAGTTGGACAGTTTAATCTGTGTATACCTGTATCAGCAGTTGATATCTGAAATATATTGTTAGTTTACCTATAATCATCACAACTCCTTAGAGACTAAGAAGGTACAAAATACCATACATACCAAAAGCATATTCGAGCAGTTGGGACAGAAGGACAACATCTTGTGAAATACCAAATCTTATAAATCTTTATCAATCACAAAGATGATCCAAATCAAAATATTTTCCAATCATGATAATAAAGACATAAAGACGCACTAATTAATTTTTTTCTTGGTAATTCCGAAGGCGCGAATAGTCGGATCTTCTCGAAACGGTCGCGCTTTGAAAATTGTATAAACATTTCTATGTAACGAGTATTAAACTTTATTTAGTTTTTAGTACAAGTGCAATTTAAAGCTTTAGATTATCATTTATGAATCCATCACCACAAGATAAAGAGGTCCCAGAACCCAGTAAGCTGACGATATACTCTTTTGGCTCGCCAAAAAAGCAGAACCCCGAACCTGAAACACAACATAATAATCAAGATGATCCAAGTAATACCACTGAACAAATTTCAAATCCTCCATTACCAGACATCAATTCTCATAATCCTATCACAAATCCACAAAGGGCCATTGATGAAACAATAATCAAATTATCACCAAGTCAGTCAAGCTTGCCATTCAGACTACGGCCTAGAGTACTGACGTCTTTAGATGAATTAGAATCTGAAGATGAATTGTATATTCCAAAGATACACAACCCTGATGCTAAAAAGAAAGCTGGTAGACCAAAAAAAGAAACTGGTAAATTGGCACAACTTTTGAATATTAAAGGTAAAAGGGGTCGCCCAAAGAAGAATGATTCCTTAGATTCAGATAATGATGAAGTTGAGTCAAGGTTCATAGGCGGTAAAAGATCTATAGGTCGTCCAAAGAAGAATAGAGATCCATTGATTTCAGTAGAAGGTGGTATATCTGCAATTATATCTAGAGATTCTGATGATCAAGGATCAACCCCAGAAATAATACCTAAAACCGAAAATCAAGAACCCATCAAATTAAATTTAAAAGAGTGTATTGTTGAATTTGAACCTCAAGATGTTTTGAATAGGTCACTAAGGTATGATTCAGATTTCAATTCAGATGATAGTGGAAGTGAATCAGGTAGTTATATTTCTGAGGATGAATCTCGTGATTGGAAACCAACAAATCGTTATGCTGGTTCTGGAGAAGGAAACAAAAAACCTAAAAGAAAGCGTGGGAGACCAAGTAAATATGAACCTCCTTTACATAGACCATCATCAAGAAACTCAAACAATTCATCAAAACCAAGAGGAAGACCTAGAAAAGATGGAAGCCCCGCTCATCCACTAAAACAAACCATCAAGACTGAATTGAAACCAGACTCAAACAGTATTGGTAACAGAACGAGAGGTCGCCCTAAGAATGTACAATTAGAAGAAACCAAAGTTAAGGAGGAAAAACCGGAAGGTTTAATAGAATTTGAATACGATGATGATATGGAAGATGATTTAACAAATTTTGTGTTCATAAAAGCAGAACATGATGCAAATATGTTGAAGAAAACTCGTGGTAGACCAACACTTAGTGTAGTTGCTAAACAACAAGAACAACAAAAAATTATTAAAGCTGATGTGTTTTCCAGTCCAAAAAGACAAAAACTTGGTGCAATAACTTTAGCTGAAACTGAATTATCACCTTCTAAGAAAGGTATTTTAACATTAGAAGGTTCATCACCAATTAAAACACCAAATGGGAGAGCAGGTTCACCTAGAAAACAAAAACTTAGGCGTGCCCAACAAGATCAAAGTGCAAGAAAAAGAGCTACAAAAACCTTATATCAAAAATTAATGGAAGATGATATGGATGAAGATGATGATTATTTTGAAGGTCAGGATTATGAAGAGGAAAAAAGATTAGCTGAAAGAATCATTGAAGAGTCAAGAAAAAGTGTAAGTGCTGCACCTTCACCTTTCAACACACCAAGACATAATAGAGTCCATGGTACTTTACCGGTAACAACACCAAACTTTGTTGCTACACCATTACCAACCGCTGAAGAGGAAGAAGTATTTTTTGATAGTAAATATGAAGATAAGGCATTATTCTTAGATGGTCCTGATGGTTATTTTGATCAACATAGAACTAAGATTAAAGGATCAAATAATTCAATGGTTAAAGCACCACAATTAGAATATGATGAATTTAATAGTTTAATTTTATTAAGTGGGTTTTTGCATAATAAGGAAAAACAAAAATTAATAGATACTTATAAAGAGATGTATACACAATGGTATTTTGAATTGACACAAGGTTTCAATTTATTATTGTTTGGTGTTGGATCCAAGAGAAGATTAGCATTGAATTTTGTTGAAGAGTATTTGACCTCAATGGTTGATATACCTGCATTAGTTGTTAATGGTTACAATCCAGCCACTTCATTCAAAGAGGTACTAACGACCATAGTATCTGCTTTAAAGCTACATAAAGTTCCCAAAAGACTTGGTGATTTAGTTGATCATATTGTTGATTATTATCATAAGAGAGCTGATACACCAAGACTGATACTTTTGATACATAACATTGATGGGACTGGATTAAGAGATGAGAAAACCCAGATATATCTTTCCAAGCTAGCATCCATCAAACAGATATATGTTATTGCCACAGTTGATCATATAAATGCTCCATTACTTTGGGATTCCTCAAGTTTGGATAACTTCCATTTCGCTTGGCACAACACTACAACATTTGCAGATTATTTAACAGAAAGCTCATTCCAGGACATTATGACATTGGGTCAAACTCAAAAATCATCCGGGTCAAAAGGTGCCAAATATGTCTTATCTTCATTGACCTCCAATTCCAAAGGTTTATATAGGGTTCTTGTTTCGAATCAATTACAAAATATGGAAGATGATCTTACATCCAAAAAGGCTCATGGTGGTGGTGATACAATGATGAAAGGTACTATTAAGCATGCATTGGAGTACAAGAATTTCTACAGTTTATGTGCTGAAGAGTTTATATCGAGTAATGAAATCAATTTCAGAACAATGTTGATGGAATTTGTTGAGCACAAGATGGCTGTCCTTACCAAAGATCAATCAGGTTCGGAGATGGTATTCATTCCATTCACTTTGGAAGAACTTCAAAAATTACTTGAAGACGAATTGTTATGAATTTTACATAAAAATGAAAATGTACTATTAAATCAGTATTATGATCTTTCCTTGTAGCTTCTTTCTCATAACAAATTTATTGATAAAATGCATTACGGTTATATTAAATAATAAACTTCTCGTGGTGTTCGGATGTCGAATACTCTGGAATTGAATCTGTGTCAAAAAATAGACCGGTAGCTTTATAGCCTTGAGAGCTGAAACAATTGAACGAAGAAGGAGGACACGCCATCGAAGACACATAGGTAGAGTTACCCAATGACTACAATTGAGAAGCTACAGCCCGGAACAAAGCTCCAAGTGGGTTCCCATGAGGTAGAAATCGTCAAGTATCTAGCAGAAGGTGAGTGCATTTTAATGGCAACGTTGATACCGAGATTAAGTGCAACGTATTATTTCTACAAGATACTAACAATATATTGTCCACAGGTGGGTTTGCTCATATTTACACAGTGAAACCACAACCGATTGAAGATGGATATGAGATTGCATGTTTGAAAAGAGTGATTGTCAAGACTAAACCTGAATTGAATTTGTTGAGAAAGGAGGTGGATACAATGAAGAAATTGGCCAGCAACAAATATGTGGTGAAATATTATGATTCCAACGCTCAAAAATTAGATGATGGAACATACGAAGTGCTTTTACTTATGGAATACTGTCCAAATAAGAGTTTATTAGATTTAATGAATCAGCATTTGAAAACCAAGTTATCTGTTGCCCAAATCTTGAAGATTATGTATGAAATTTCAATCGCGGTATCAGCAATGCATTCTGTCAATTTGATTCATAGAGATTTGAAAGTGGAAAATGTATTAATCAATGCTGATGGTGATTTCAAGCTTGCAGATTTTGGTTCAACAAGTGGATACATTGCACCTCCAAAAAATCAAGAAGAGTTTCAGCTGGTTGCCCATGATATATTATATCAGACAACTCCACAATATAGAGCTCCTGAAATGATTGATCTTTACAAAAACATCCCAGTTGATTATAAATCAGATATATGGGCACTAGGTGTGTTCCTATATAAATTGATGTATTATACAACACCTTTTGAAATGCAAGGTGAAGTTGCTATTTTGCATGGTTATTTCCAGTTCCCACCAGCACCGAAATACCCTTCAAGATTAAAGAACTTGGTGATCATTATGCTTCAGGTCGACGTTAATCTACGGCCAAATATTTATCAAGTGATTCATGAATTGTCATCAATGGTTGAAAAACCAGTTCCAATTGAAGATTTTTATGGATTAGGCCCTTATAATTATGAAGAGTATGCAAAATATCAACAACAATTACAATATCAACAACAAATACAACAACAGCAAGCTCAACAAGCTCAACAGCAGCAGATACAACAACAACAATATCAAACTCAAAAATACTGGGAACATCAAAAACAACAACAAAAACATCAAGAAGAGCTCATCACACAACAAGTTCATAAAGCTGCTGAAAATAATCAACAAGCTCCTAATCCAAACGATCTTAGAAGCTCTACAGCATCTCCTCAAGCTGATCACTCAATTCATCCACCACAACAATTGGCTCGCTCTACAAACCCTAGTAGTGGTGATTTACAAAGCTTAGCTTTTGAAAGTGATCCAGTAAAATCTGAGAAAACACCTACTCCATTGACAAAACAACCTCTTGGAGGTGAAAACAACATTCATGTTGAAGAGAAAGAAATTCAAGATGAAGATCAAACTGGTGAAGGAGAAGAAGTATTGGACAACGTTGAAGAAAGATATCCATCTTTAGAAGACCTTGATGAAGGCTCAGTTGAGAAAAGGTTCCCAGATGTTAATACAATTGATACAGATGTTGAAACTAAAGCTAGAAAATCAATTGATGAATTACGTTCGGAAGTTAGTGATGCTAAATCTTCAGTTGATCTAACTAGAAACTCTTCTAGAAAAACACAGACATCTACAAAAACTGAAGAATTAGAAAATGAAGAAGATGCTCCAAAACTTGGTATTAAACTTACTCACACTGAAGCATGGACAACACCTGCCCCAGAACCTAAGCATAATATTGATGTTGATGGAGTTTTCCATACTGAGAGTGATCAAAATGAGAAATCATCTCCTTCAAGTGTTCCTAGAAAGAGTGGTGAATATGACGCTAGAGAAAGTTTTGAATCAGGTGCTAGTAGAAAAAGCTTTGAGACTATGAACTCACATTATGATCCTTCAACTAATGAACCAACCTCAAGCTTACAGCAGACAAATAATTTGCCACCACAACAAGATGCTGGATATTCTCAAATTCTAGTTTCACCACCTTCAAATCCTCAACCAATTTACCAAAAGCAATATCACCCTCAACAGTTGGAAAACCAGCATTATCCAACAAATCAAGAGTCAAGCAATAATCCATATTATGCTTATCCACAACAAAACTTTAACCAACCAAGACAATATCATACTGTACCACAACAGTCTCAACAGCTTCCACAGAATCCTATTTATTCACAATCTGACCCATATTCTCAACAACAACAACAACATCAACAACCAAGACCAAATATTTTAGGATCAAGAAACCCATTCCCTACAGCTGGTTCTAAAAATCCATTTCCTTCTTCAAAATCTTCTTTAGATGTAAAAACTAATCCAATCCCAGCTGAAAAATCAGGTGGTAATCCATGGGCTCAATATCAACAAAATACATCAAAGTTAAATCCACAACAAAATTTATTGCTTCAACAACAAAAACCAACAATTAAACCTTATTCTACAAATTCTGTTCCAAAATTGAGAAATTCATCCACATTGGAGTCACCAAGTATTCAAGTAACACCAACTGAGAATCTGATTGATATTGATAATGTACCAGCACCTGCAAGAACAAGAGATCCTAAGAATCAACCACAACTGAATTTAGATTTATTAGAATTAGATATGAGTGAACCTGAAGCTTTTGATGATGATTTACAAGTTGAAGAAATGAAGGTTAAACCAACTAGAAGAAAATCTAGTAATCAAAAACCTTCTACTTTACCACAAGATGGCTCAGTTCCAAGAAAATCAAGTGAATTGAATAGAATCAATTTAGATCTTGAAGAATTGAATCTTGATGATGAAAATAATGAAAATGTTTTAGCTGATGATGAAACTGGTGATTCTTACTCTAAACATTCAAGACGTTCATTATCATTACATCGTTCAAGATCGAAAACATCAAAAGTTTCTAGACCAAAAGATGAAAGTAGAAAATCATCATTTTTAGGTTTCAAGTCATAGGTAGTCTTTCAATATATTTTATTATTTGCATGTATTAAACACTTGTAGGCTGTAGCTGCTCTGTATTTTTAATGGAAGGTTCAAAATTCTCAATTATATACGAAAAGCGCAGGGTACAGGGGTATTTTATATCCGGCATACCTCAAAATCCCAATTTGGACCACATGAGATGAGATGCTTGTTAATTAGGCTAATCATAAAATAACAACCTCTTATACGCTTATTTCCATGAAACCAGATTTCAAAGTATCATGTTTCAAAATATCAAGTAATTAATACCTCCTGGTACAACCCCTTTATTCCTTCCATATAATTCTCAATTTCGCGGTCCATTATGCAAAAAGGTAAACAAAGCCTACAATAACAAATAGTTTCCACTATTATGACATTTCATTATTATTATATTATTATTATCCAATCTAGATTCCTTCGTTAACGCATTTAACCTAATGTACAATTAATTCCCAATGATTTGACATCCACACCTGAAAATATTCTAATGTTTTATTCAAAGAAAAAAATAAAACAAAAACAAAAATAGCAACTCTTTTTACCTTCCAATAATCCTGGTATTGTAAACTTCCATATGATTTATTTAGCTTGTTAATGTTTCATTCATCTGCTATTTACCAGCACCGATACCTAATGCAACCAACTGATTTTTAAAATCATCACCAGTTAAATAGTAAAAGAATCTATCCACAACTTGGAATAATTTATATGGTAAATAGGCAAAAACGGCATAAACTGAGACTGTCAACACAGTTAAGAAAAACAAATGTAATACAAAAGCTTCTTCATTCTTCATCAAATAGTATGGCAGATGAATATAATAAGCCCAGTATAGTTGTTCAAAGAAGTTGCGAATTTTGGTGATGATCAAGTTTGAATCCTTGTCACGCTCTTCGTTGGTTAATTCATAAACAAATGTTCCCGCCATTATGATTCTTGAGATTCTTTTTTTGATGTAGTGATGAGATACAAATATATCTTGAACTAAACTTCAATAGACAAATTGTAAAGTATTTATATTCTAATCAAGTTGTGAAGTTGAAATGAAATTTTGCAAATGTGTCTCCTATTTGTTCGCCCTTGTTTGAATTTCTCGACATCCCAGAACAAGTGAGAATTTTGTGTCACGTTGGGATTGACAGACACTATAAAATTTTTTTGAGAACTTTAGAAGAAAAGTTTCCGATACGAGTTGAAATTTTGCATCTTGTTTGATCGTTTTAGGTAATCCTTCTAATCTAAAGCATGTTTGCTAATTGATAGAGACAATAGACTACTCTTTTGGTGGTTGATGAGCTTGCGCAATACCTTAACAAACATCCTATGGCATACTATTCCGTTAATGTCGCAAGCAAACTAAATTAATCACCGGTTGATCAATGTCTTATCAAGGACTTTTTCCTTTAATCGATTTGATATGTATCATTTATCGCTTCGTCAAAGTTCCAGATGGTTGATCCCGAACAAATTTCAGCAACTTAAGAATGTGTGATGCAGATAAACGTTTTATGTACGTCAGGATTCGGAAAAGCTAAATAACCTACTTCAATACTTCAACATCAATAGTCATTACAATTATTACATGAAACCATTATTCACTAAACATCATTTCAAAATTTGAACATCCAAATCCTCAAGTTTTTCTTTCTCAAAACCAGCGGTCAACAAATAGCTAATATCTGGAATTTTGAACGTTTCTAAAGAGCTCAGCTTTGTATTATCCAGAATCAACGCTGGAAATCTTTTTATGCGATCTCTTGAAATATAATGCATTGAGCAAAATTTATGAAAACCATCTTCAAGATCAAGGATAAACGATTCCGATGAGTAACTTAAATTTTCCCTAAAGATCTCTGAGCAATTGATTGTGCTCTTTATGGTGAAAATCTTCAAGTTTTCCAGGTTGGTGTTTTGAATAAGTAAATAAAAATTATTATTACAAGAAAGTGTTTCTAACTTTGGAAACTCACAGTCTTTGATAGCCTCTAGTTTGGTGCTGTTATCAAACATGATATTTTTGATGGCTGGAAACTGGCAGTTCTGGAAGATAATTCTATAGCATTGACTTGGTGGTGAATAAACCCATTTATTAGCTGTTTGAATATCCAGGAACTCACTTGAATCTTCAGCTTCATAAATAAGTTCTTCCTCTGGACAATTTAAAGAATAGATACCCATGTGACGGAGTTTTGGTAGCTTTAAATCAGACATATAATACCAGTGATGAGAAGCTGTGTTGTGAATTGTAATTTCAACGATATTATCAACCCTGAATGTAGAAGAAGTATCTCCAACATTTACCTCCTGATCATTATCAAATACAAATGATACCCATCCTTCACATGATTTCATTTTTCCAGTAAAACAATTGAATAAACCACTAGGAGGTGACAGTAATGCTTTGTGATACTTATTTCCTTGGTAAAACATGGCTCTTTTTCTAAACTCTTTAGTAAACCATATCACTTTACTTGGTATATTTTCAAACAACTTCATACACACATCCATATTTCTACATTCTTTGTGAGCTGATATAACTAAAAAGGTATAACAATATTTTTTCAAAGACCTGTTGGTAACATGATCAACACTATAACAGTCAAATTTCGAAGATTCGAGACCTTCTATTTCCAACAAAACATTATATGGGAATTCAACATCATTTGTAACAACACATACACAGCTTTCAATGACTGAAGAATAATTATCATCACTCTTATATAACTCTACCAATTTTTCGAACGAAACTTCAGCATCATTAACTAGTATTTCACGAATTAAAGGTGATGGTAAATCCCAAATACCAGCATACTTAGTTTTCTTGGACATATTCATCACTAGTTTGAGAGAACAAGTAGGTGTTGAAATTCTTTCTCTGCATACATAGTTGATATCAAAGGTATGGAAGAAATTTGTGTCATTTTATACGTTTAATTAATACTTTGTGTCAAAAAAAGGAGCTACTTTGTTTTAATATTTAAACTTTAAAGTATAAAATGTTAAATTATATCCAGTAAGCTCACAAGGACTGATTTGAGCAACATGAAAAAATCATATAGAGTTGTTAAACAGCTACATTAACACGTCGAAAAGTAATATGACTCAAAAAAAGGTATTTCTTGTAAAGTACTAAAGCTAATTGAAAATTAACTACAAGGACAATCTGACCTGTTCCATGTGAATTTATATAATTGTACACATTGAAATGAATGATTGATATGAAATAAATTCTGTACTTAAAAATTTCCGTAGATTATTCAATTTCAACACAAAGTTTATTCAAAGTGGAATCATCGAATGCTGCAGTCATTAAATAATTTTCATGTGGTACTTTCAAATGTTTCAATGATTTAAAATTAACATTTTCAAGAAGCATGAAAGGAATCAACTCAATTTTATCCATATCAATATTATATCTTTTACAATAACTTTCACAATATTTTTCAAGATCTATCTTAACTTCTCCTTTTTCAAGAGCAGAATTTTCCTCTTCACAATCAGCCAGAAGTTCATCAAGTATCGAAAGATTTGAGTTTTCGTAATCATATTTTTCATCAGAAATTTTGAAAACTTTTCTAATGCTTAAGCATTTCAAGTTTTGGAAATTTGAGTTTCTAATCAGAAACATAAAATTGTTGTTCATCATTAAATGTTCCAATTTTGGAAAACTGCAATCAATAATAGCTTCAATTTTTGTGATTCTCCCAGTTTTCAAAGTTTCAAGTTGAGGTAAAGAACAATTATTGAATGTGACTCTATTTGTTTCCACAATAGGAACTATAATTTGATTTGGTGAAATGTAACAATCATAAAGTTTATGAAATGTATCAAGGTTCATATTACTAGGACAAAATATTGAAATTTGTTTCAGATTTTTCAACTTCAAATTTGAAACGGTTAACTGATTGCTTTTATCTGTATGATAAATCGTTATGGATTCAATATCATCTGGAGTATAAGTAATTCGTTTAATACTTTCACCGATCATAGATTTCATGTTATTAAAAACCAAAATATTGCAGCTAATTGGAAGCTTTGTAGGATCATAATATATTTTTGTAGATATTTCGCCAGTTAGCCATTCTGTATATTTGTAATAATTGACACCGCCGTTATAAAAAAACTTCTTTTTATAAAGCTCGACAAACCATAACACCTTGAACTGAAAAGTACCTTCAAACGCTTTGAGAACATTATTTAACTTATCAAAATCACATTCATGTGATAAAATTAAATAAATGAAGCTGGAACGAGAGAATGAAGATTGCCTAACATCTAACCCATAAATATCTAGTCCTAATGGACCGAACCCATCAACACTTAGCATGGTCTCATGTGGTAAGCTAAAATCATTTGTAATAATAAGCGAGCTGGCTCTCACCAAATCTAAACATCTTGAATCTTCTAAAGCAAGTTTTTTCAATACATGAAATGGTATTTCAGCATAGTAGATTATATCTCTTATTAATGAGTCAGGAAGGTCTAGAATACCGGGAAACTGTTGAGCACCAACCATTGGAACAAAGAGGGAATGTGTTGAATCAATATAAGCTTAATATAAGCTTAGATCTTTGGAGTAAAAAGCATGCTTGCACAATAATTAATGAATTTGATACGGGTTATAAATTAACTATGAGAACCTCATAAAATACATAAAGTTCTCATCAGAACCAAATTTGACTTTATTCTCTCTAACATAAAAGAATTTTCACTAATACGATATATGATCAGCAAAATTGCTATAAGTGTTGTCAACAACACATTCTGATTTAGTCCAACATAGTCTTCTGCTAATATTAGACATCTCTTAACATATATTGTCATTTAAAACTAAAAAGACATTAAACCGTTGAAACCGTTGAAACCCTCAAAACGTTCGCACTAAAAAAAATCTGCGATACCCTGATGGCTATTGGCAACCAGGGGCTCATAACCACTGATGAGGTACTGATATCTATGAGTAATCAACTAAAGATATGTTCTTTCATTTCATGATGTCCGTTCCCCAGTAGCGTATTAGTTGAAGATGACGGATATCTCACCAGTCCCTAAAGCTTTCAAAAAAGATGATGATGGTCAAGAAACAACTATTGAGCTAACAAATCTTACTGGAAGCTCTCATAGTCATCGAATTAGTAATATTGCTAAAGGTTCAGGTTTTACTTTACATGCAAGAGATAAAGAAGCTCAATCAAATGATAGAGCACATTCAGAATCGTACTCAGCTATTCATGAAATTAATGAAAATGAAAGTATCTCCCTGCTGGATGAAGATCTAGAATTCCCTGAGGGTGGGCTTAAGGCCAACTTGGTCGTTTTTGGTTCATTTATGGGTCTTGTGCCAGTTTTCGGGATGCTTAATTCAGCTGGTGCTATTGAGGCATATGTTTCCTCACATCAATTTGCTAAAGCTGGTGCTAGTGTAGTATCATGGATCTTCTCTATCAATATTTTTATTGCTTTCAGTTCTAGTATTTTCTCTGGTTCATTCTTTGATAGAAATGGGGCAAGAGCACCAATGTCAATAGGTGCTGTGTTATTTTCTGCAGGATTATTTGCTACAGGTAACGCTAAAAATGTTTATCAATTCGTTTTAGCATTTGGTGTTGTTAATGGGTTAGGATTGGGTATGATGATGAGTCCCTTGATTGGTGTTGTATCTCATTATTTCAAAAGAAATAGAGCTACTGCTCTTAGTTGTGCCTCTACAGGGGGTTCCATAGGTGGTATTGTCTTCCCATTGATTTTACGATCTCTTTATCCAAAAGTAGGATTTAAATGGGCTCTAAGAATAGTATCATTCATTTGTTTATTCTGTTTCGCCTTTTCTTTAATATTTGTCAAAGAAAGATTCTCCAATAAAATTGAAGCTGATGATGAAGAAGAAGAACAGCCAAAATCTACAAAACTTAGAAAATTTATCAAGATCTATTTATTAGACATATTTGATTATAAATCATTATTGGAAGCAAAATTTGTCTTTTGTACATTAGCTGTTGCATTATCGGAATCTTCACTAATGGTTATAATTATTAATTTCCCTTCCTATGCAATCAAAAGAGGGTTTAGTGAAAACACTTCATATTTATTAATTACCATTGTTAATACAACCGGGGTTCTAGGTCGTTATATTCCAGCTTATATTGCTGATAAATTCTTAGGTAGATTCAACGTGGTTATCCTAACATTAATTGGATGTCTTTTGGTGAGCTTTATTTTATGGCTTCCATTTGGTTATAGTTTGAAAATACTTTATTCATATGCAGCTTTATATGGGTTCTGCTCTGGTTCAATTTTATCTCTATCACCAGTTTGTTGTGGTCAAATATCAAGAACTGATCAGTTTGGAAAAAGATTTAGTACAATGTATTTGATTGTCTCTTTGGTAATGCTTATCTGTATCCCAATTGGTGGTGCTGTTATTGGTGATGGCTCAATTGATCGTTATAATAAGATGATCATTTATGCTGGGATGTTGAATGTTGGTGGTATAATATCTTATTTTATGTGTAGATATTCTTGTGTTGGGTTGAAATTATGTAAATTTTGAAGCCTATACAATACCAAATTACTTGTATATAATTTAATATAAACAATAATATTATTGACGTATAAACTTCATCCACTAGGATGGAAAATTCAGACAAATGCACAATATCTGAACATTCGATTATAATGTATTTGATGATCCTTTTGACGTTTTGCACTCTACAACATCAAGGTCGGGTCATAGGTCATAGGGAATATCCGGGGATAGATTGGTGGTTGTGTAGAGCGATCTTTACTATGTGATTAAAGTTAAAACCAAAATCGCTAACAAAAAAATGACAAAATCAATTTTGGATTCCAAAATGAAAAATAAAAAATTTGAAAATCTGAAAAAAATTAAAAAAATCGCTAAGATTTCAGGTCTATTGACACAAAATGTAGTATTGACAACCACATATCCCAGTGGTTGCTTTAAAATTTGGCAGAGATGGTCTAAAGTACCTAAGGTATATCCACGTGAAATTAATAGCTTGAAACCGTCTTCGTTGCTGTGCTATAAGGTGATTCATCCCATTTCGGCATTTTGAGGTTCTTCAAAGTCTCGGGATTTTAGTCAAGTGCTCTGATTTTAGTAAACTTCAACTGTGTACTACAAAGGACTGAACCATCTGATTAACTGAATGTTTTGGAATTTATTATTTCAATCCAATGAATATATAAACATATGAATTTTGAGAGAAAAGAACAACTTTTAGTAGATCGTTTTCTATTCTAAAAATATGACCTTTCATCAAAAATAACCTCATTTCATGAGCTGATTTCTCAAATCTGAAAACGTTAAAGCTCATAGGAAAGCCAGATTCTAGTATTTCAATCAATTTAAAGTTAAGCTATATACTCTTTATAAAATGTAAACAATGTTGAAGTATTGATAACTCAATTCAAACACATGACCTTTGATCAAAATGTGTCAAAAAATCTCAAGTCTTCTCCAGAAAATCAAGTCAGGCACTAAAATTTAAAACATCCAGACACCTAGGACAGAATAAATCAACAATAGAATCTTAGATATCTAAAAATCTTAGAAATTTTTAAAGATTTAAATTATTACTTCTACCACAATACCACCAGTTCAGCGCTTAAAGACTACAAGCACATTTCAACCTTTAAGTATCACTGTGAATAGCTTTACCAAGCTTGAGACTTCTGAGACAATTGATGGTTAGTTCCTGGCCAGTTCTAACAATCAAAGTCACTTGGTCTTTGGCTTTTTTGAACCAGTTGTTTTATTAAGATTACAATTTACTTACATTTGATCTTTTTAGTTACTCTTTAAAAGCAATTCAATTGATACCAATTTCACACTGATGGCTCATTTTATCATACATTTGGATTACCATTCATTGCTTCATCATATGAACTTCTTTTGCTGTTCTTTTTGCTATTCTTTTGCTGTTCTTTCAAATTTGTGTTGATGGCGCTTATCCATTTTGCTGAATCTTTTTGTTTTGGAAGCTATAGATTGCTAATATTATATCCAATTGCTCATTACTTGCTATCAATTTACTAACTAAAGACTCGTTTGTATGTTTATTATGGTGTTAAAATTGTTGTTTCTTTATATGATTTGATATAGCTTAAGGTATGTTGATTTAAATTATTTACAATGATATTCTACAAGGTTTCAAGAGCATTTATCATTTCCTTCTTACTCTTTCTGATACAATAATGGTTCAAAGACATGTTTTAATTTCATTATTGATCAATTAGCTGTTGTGAAGTTGTGTGTATTATATGATTATATAGTTATTCCAATACAAATTTCAACTAAAGTCCAATATATAAATATTGTAGACCCTATAAACCTATCAGACCCCAAAAATCAGAGAGACTGACCAGACCTCCCTAGGCCAGCTCATTTCAACCTTCCAGACCTTTAAATCGAGATTGGGATTCGGGTGAAACTTTCTAAAGCCGAACCTCAATCTCGAATTGCGTCGTGCAGCACCATAGTTAACGCGAAAATTACCCATACAAAAAAACGAGCCGTACCCATTCCCAACCACCAGTGGATCCGATGGTGTGTACTTAACATTCTCTGATGTGCTCATAACCAATGAATATTTATGAATAATTTCTGTGATCATACTCTCTTTTTATTTCATCATGTCCAACATTGTGATTGTTTAAGATGGCCGATCTTTTACCAGTCCCTAAAGCTTTCAAAAAAGATGACGATGGGCAAGAGACAACTGTTGAGCTAACAAACCTGACAGGAAGCTCTCAATATAATCATCCAACTAGTAATGTTGCTAAAGGTTCTGGGTTTACTTTACATACAAATGATGCAGAAGCTCAATCAAATGACAGAGCTCTATCCGAATCACACCCAGCTGTTCATGAGATTAATGAAAATGAAGATGAGAATGTTTTACTGTTGGATCAAGATTTGGAATTCCCAGAAGGTGGGCTAAAGCCTAACTTGGTTGTTTTCGGCTCATTTATGGGTCTTGTGCCAGTTTTTGGTATGACTAACTCAAGTGGTGCTATTGAAGCTTATGTTTCCTCACATCAATTGGCTAACGTTGGTACAAGTGCGGTATCATGGATTTTCTCTATCAATATTTTTATTGCTTTCAGTTCTAGTATTTTCTCTGGTTCTTTTTTCGATAGAAATGGAGCAAGAGCTCCAATGTTAATAGGTGCTATATTATTTTCTGCAGGATTATTTGCTACAGGTAATTCAACAACTGTTTATCAGTTTGTTCTTTCATATGGTGTTGTTAATGGGTTAGGTTTAGGTATGATGATGAGTCCCTTGATCGGTGTTGTATCTCACTATTTCAAAAGAAACAGAGCTACTGCCCTTAGTTGTGCCACTACAGGGGGGTCTATAGGTGGTATTGTATTCCCATTGATTTTAAGATCTCTTTATCCAAAAGTTGGATTTCAATGGGCTTTAAGAATTGTATCTTTCATTTGTTTATTTTGCTTTGCCTTGTCTTTAATCTTTGTTAAAGAAAGATTTTCCAATAAAGTTGAACATGTTGTGGAAGAAGGAGATCAAGAGCAAAGAAGATCAACTAAACTTAAAAATTTCATCAAAACTTATTTCTTAGATATATTTGATTATAAATCATTGTTGGAACCAAAATTTTTGTTTTGTACATTAGCTGTTGCATTATCGGAATCTTCACTCTTTGTTATAATTATCAATTTCCCTTCTTATGCAATTAAAAGAGGTTTCAGTGAAAACACATCATATCTATTAATTACTATTGTCAACACAACAGGGGTTTTAGGTCGTTATATTCCAGGTTATATTGCAGACAAATTCCTTGGTGGATTCAATGTTGTTATGTTAACATTATTCGGTTGTCTTCTGATCAGTTTTATTTTATGGCTTCCATTTGGTTATAGTTTGAAAATACTGTATTCATATGCAGCTTTATATGGATTCTGTTCTGGCTCAATTTTATCTTTATCACCAGTTTGTTGTGGTCAAATATCAAGAACTGATCAATTTGGAAAAAGATTTAGTACAATGTATTTGATTGTCTCTGTTGTGGTTCTTGTCTGTATCCCAATCGGTGGTGCTGTTATTGGTGATGGCTCAATTGATCGTTATAATAAGATGATCATTTATGCTGGGATGTTGAATGTTGGTGGTATAATATCTTATTTTATGTGTAGATATTTTTGTGTTGGATTGAAATTATGTAAATTTTGAAATCTATACACTGCCAAATTACTTGTATATAATTTAATATATAGAAAATAATATTCTTCATACAGTATAAGGATGGAAATTTCAGACAAATGCGCAATACCTGAACATTCTATATAATGTATCAGATGATCCTTTTGACGTTTTGCACTCAACAACATCAAGGTCATCAATAAAGCTTTCCTCATAATGATCTTCCCTATATTCAGCCAAGTTGTATTCTGAAGATATTTGCATATAGTTTGAATAATTCCTCAGTGGAGCATAAATTGTATGTATATTGGTCACATCATTTTCAAGTATAACAACATCTTCATCATCAGAATTATCTTCAGCACTAATAGTTATAATACCATTAAATTTGTGAAAAAAATCATCAATATCACCTCTGATATCTTCATCCATAAATTCCATTTGATAATCCTGTTTTTCTTTAGATAATGGTGTATCTGGATGATTTAGAAAAATCATTACGTTTTGAGGATATGAAGGATCATGACTAACTTCAATTGAATTCAATCTAAGTAATTCAGTTTTATCAAACCCTTTTAAACTATTAATATCAGGAACAACGATATGTTTCAATGAAGAGAAATTCAAATTTTGGAAATCATAGTAATTGATTCTATTGATATCTCGAAATCTGATCGAGTGTTTTTCACAAAAATGATTTAGCTCATCCATCACATCCAAATCTAAAGGAAGACTATAATCAACGGTTTGTGCAATTTTCAAGTATTCAAGGGAGTCAAGCTTAACATCATTCAATTTAAGAAAAAAATTATTCTTAATAACAAGTTTTTTCAAAGAGCTCATATTGGTATTTGATATGGCATCAACATGGACGTCAATTGTCATTTTTACCTCTTCAAGCCTCTCAAAATCACAGTTGTTAATTGAATATAGTAATGGTTGTTGGAAATAGAAGGGATCTTCTCCGGTATCACTTAATAATCCATCCAGCCCTTTGAAATCAACAGTTTCCTTCAATGCACTACCCTCTGTAGAGACATCTTGGTTATTCAGCGTGTCTAAATAATCGTGAGCTGTGTAATTGAAATCAAAGTCTGATGTTGCCAAATATAAAGATTTTAAGTTTTTCAATTTTAACCCATCAATGTTATGATCTTTGGTTTGTTGATTAGTGAAAATCACTAGCTTTATAACATATTTTTCAAAATCCTCTTTACTGAACCGATTCTCAGAAATGTATGACTCATGTGTAATTGGATCACTAACTGACCTTAATTGTAACTCCTCCACAAAATCATTATTTGGTGAACCAACATAGAACTCAGAATATCCTAGAAAAAAAGCATCTTCAAGCTCAAGACTTAGTGATTGATTGGCCAACACGAGTTGATTTTCAGCTTCATCTTCATACTGAATGTGTTTATTTTCCGTGGTGATTTGACCGTCCAAGTAATTACTTTGGAACAAGTTAAGTTGTGTGAAAAAGTTAACTTTGAAAAACGTATCTTCTAATAAGTGCTTATAAACATTACTCACACCCCCATTATCCAACTCTGTATTATAGTTGACAATCCAAATGCTATAATTGACATTCATTTCATCAAACACTTTGAGATCCAAGTCCTGTAAACCATCCACCATTGTCATTGCATGTTGTGGTAAATTCCTGTCATTGGTAACAATTGCAATGTTCTCAATCAATAAATCACCAAACATCTTATCCATTTTATAGAGCCCCTTCAACTCTTCAAACCCATATTTCAGATGCTTAATGAAGATTTTCTGTAGTGCATGATTGGGTAGATCCGTTATACTTATCATAGTCTCCGTTTATGAAAGATAATTCGATGGGTATTAAAGATTTAAGAATTTGTTTTGAGTTTACATATCTTTAATTTTATGCCTGCGCGAAATTTATTTACGATGTATGACAATAGCACAATAGCTTCAACATTTGTTAGTGATTTTATACTGAAGTCTAAGATTATATAAGGTTCTCTATTAGACTATCTGTCTAGCAAGCAATAATAATAAACATTTGTTTCATTCATATCACCGTATGAAGTTTGACATCTTACTATTGGCTGTTGAGGGACAAACGCTGCTGAAGTAGAAGTTGTAATTCCAACAAAGTTTTCATTTTGAGGCAAGCTTCTTCCTTGAAATATTTCATCTTTGGTCACTGGTATGAATAAATTCATTACTTTATTCTTGTTTTCAACAAGAAATATACTGTTAAAATCATAGAAAAAATCTTGTGCCCAATGTTCTGAACCAACAACATTAGTTTTGCGAAATGCTGTATATGGTAAATTATTCTTGTGGAATATACCACCAGGGAACGTTGTAAATACAGCAACTTTATAATTGATATTTGGTTCATCCTGAACTTCAACTGATAATAATCGTGGTAATCTTTTCCTGTTAAAATAACTTAAGGTTCTAAGATTTGGCACCACTAAACATTCTAATTTTTTGAAATCTGTGTTGATGATTCTCAGAAAGTTCAAATACTTAATATTATGGGATGGAACAGAATATCTATTACAAAATCCGTTGATCTCTTCATCGAACTGGACCTTTTTATTTTCAAACAATTTTTTGTAGGACTGAAAAACTAAGCTGATTTTCAACATAGTTAACGATGAAAACTCACAATTTTCAATATTAAGTAAGATGTTATTTCTTATTTCCAATTCTTTCAATGAGTTACACTTGACATTTTTGAATGATTCAATTTTGGTGTAATTTGTTGTTCTTAACTTTTGTAAACTTGGAAAATCACAATAAGAGATGGAATACAAACCATATTGCTTGAAAGCCTCTTGCTTCGAATTATCTTCATATATACTAAAGCTATCTTCACGGATAACGCACAATTCATCTTCAACTACTGGAGCTGAGTTCAGATAAAGCTCTTCCAAGTTTAGTAAATGTAGATTATTAACTTGGAATGTAGCACTGGTTAAATGAGCATCATAATTTGTAATGCGTAATCTTTTTATATATTTCTTGAATGATTTCTTAACAATCTCACTTTTTGATAAGTAATTTCCTCTGCTATTGGCTTTTGGTTCCATATTCCTTAATTTCAACTCTTCTTCTAAGTTATTAGACACTGGTGATCCAATAAAATATTCATTCATCCCCAATAGATACACATCATCTGCAGAGCTAAAAATACCACGATTTACTTTGTTCTCATTTATGGCATATAACCCAGTAGCTTTATCGTATTTCTCTATTTCATGATGCATTAATGAGACACCTGAAAGAAATGAGTTTTTTATATGACAATTTGGTGTGAAGAAGTTGACCTTAAATTTTCTTTTTAGCACCTCGTTGAATTGTTCAAAAATTTTCAAATCATACCCCATTTCAAGGTTATAATTCACAAAATAGTATTTAAATCGACTATCAGCCTTCTCCACTATCCTAAGGTCCAAATCATCAAGGCCATCAACAAGTGTCATTTCATGGTTTGGTAAATTGATGTCATTTGTCACAATGGCGATGGAATTCTTTAATAACCCACCAAACTGCTTGTCTATGCGATAAAGCGCTTTCAAATTTTCAAATCCATAATCCAAATGATCAATAAAGATTTCTTGCAAACAATGATCTGGTAAGTCTGATAGTCTAACCATCTTTGGTGGTGTAGATTAGTTTTGATTCAGTTTGTAGTTTGAATGAACATGAAAATATATGAACATTCTTCTTCGCGCGTGCCCCATATTATTCTCTTTCAACAAAAGATGTATATGATCTACACAAAAAATGTTTATAATCTTACGTCAAGATCACTAGGCAACAGAATCATTCGATTATGATATAAAATTTATAAATCAGTATAAACAAAAACCCTTCACATTCTCAGAAATTAATTAACAAACGAGTAGTAAAAGACATTAGTTACTTTTGTTTTCCCTTTACCTGACTGGCAACGAACAATTGGAAGACTAGAGTAAGAAACAGATGTACTTACATCCAGTTCAAGCTCATTATCTTTATTCAAAGTTGATGATGAATTAATTTGTGATTTCCGTTCATTAATATTCAATGGTGTAAATAAGCTCAGGTAAGTTGCATCTTTATTCTGAAATCTTAACATTTTTCTAAAAACATCTTTAAAGAAATTTGTGAGTGTTTCTTTTGAAACATCTGAGTGTGAAAGTACATGTTGACATGATTGAAGTTTGTCATTATCTGGGAAGTCAAAGAAAATAATGATTTTAGAATACAAATTTGGTGAAATATTTGTAACTTTTAATGTTTTCAAATTTGCTAAATCCAAATCTTTAAAATATTCAAAAAGTTTCACATTGGGGACATGTAGATTTTCAATGCTCTTCAAGTCTGTGTTTTTCATATTCAAAAAATTGATTGATTTTATTTTTTCATATGAGATATCATAACGACCACAAAACTCACCAAAATCTTTTGCAAAATTCGCTATGTTTTGATCTTCTTTAACAATTTTGGAAATATCAAATAATTGATTAATTTCAAGGGACTTCAATGATGTAAAATCACAATTATCAATGTTCAACATCACATTATTATTGATTTTCAAATCATCTAATAAAGGCAACTTGGAATTATGAAGTGATATAAGTTTAGAATTATGCATCAATTTTAGTTTTTGTAGATTGGGAAAGTTATTATTTGATAACGAATAAAGAAAATATTCTTCAAATATTTTATCCCTAGATACACCATCAAAAACACTTGTCATATCCTGAGGTTGACCAGAAAGTCTATCTTCCAACATTCCTGAATCCAAATACAATTCCTCCAAATTTTCTAAGTGTAAGTTATCTATTTCAAATAATTTCCAGTTGTTACTATAGTTGGTGATCACTAATCTCTTAATATATTCTTTGAGCGAGTCATCAGTAAAATTATCCTCTGATGTTTTTTTATTCCCTTTGATATTGAATGAGGAATCTATTGGTCTCAATGATAATTCATCTTGCAAGTTGTTTGAAGTTTTAGCGCCCACATAAAATTCATTATACCCCAACAGATACTTTTTAGTTGTTAATTGTTGAAGATTCTGCAAAATTTTATTCTCAGCTATGCATGAGTCATCTGTGAAAATATGTTCATCATAATGTTCATCATAATGTTCTGTGATAGCATGAGATTCAATAACATCTTGTTTTAAAACAATCCCAGAAGAATGTGAAATCTTAATGTGATAATTTGGACGGAAGAAATTTATTTTGAACTGTTTGCCTAAAGAATCATTAAATAACTGAAAAAGCTTCATATCATAACCCAATTCCAAATTATAATTAACAAAATAAAACTTATAATGTTTATTATAATTATGTCTAACATTATCAACAATTACCAGATTCAAGTCAGAAAATCCATCAACAAGTAACAATTGATGATTAGGAAGATTTTTATCATTGGTTATTATACCAATTGATCTTCTAATGAGTCCACCAAATTGTTTATCCACTCTATAAAGAGCTTTGAGTCCTTCAAATTGATAATCCAAATGTTCGAGGAATATATATTCCAAACAATGGTCTGGTAAGTCTGATAAACGGGTCATTTTATGAGTTCAACCTGCTGATACTTCTTTTATCAAAGCACCATGATTATCAAGACAACGAGTAAATTACCAACATTATATATACATTTATACCAGCTAATTCTTCTTCATGTAGTTTGTCTTGTATAATGTCGATTTTCATTTTAAGTTTAAAGTTTATCAAACGCGAAAAAAAAACTTTAAATATGAATAACAAGAGTCTTAGTGTCAAAATTTTAGCTTCAAAGAAAACGGGAGTACTCCAAAAAGGTTTATTTGATATAGGGGTTTGTTGATGTTTTCTTTGTTTATCAGGTCTTGTGTTGTCTTGTGCTGTCTTGTTTGTCTTTGAGTTTGCTTTGTTTATGGGGAATGATTATTTGAGGTAGATTATCATGGGTATAATTGATGGTGGTATAAGTTAATATGATTTGAATTTGAGTTTGGATGGCTTCAAACAATTACCAATTCTCTTCTGGGAATTTAACTTTTCAAATGACACCTTACTTATACCAGGCTCAAGCTTCACTGTTAATCATGAAATAAGCTGTTGTTTTTGTTTAATTCAATAATGATTTTATACAATATCCTTTGATTTTTAATGGAAATTTGAAGCTATCATTTGAGTATTATTTCATTTATTAATTGATATTTGATCTAAATTGGGCATATAAATTATTATCATCTTATCCTGTTATAATCAGATGTGCTTTTGTTAATGTCACAAGAGGTTTTTTTGACACAAATCACATCAATACTAGTTATTTTCTTAGTTTTGGTTAACATTTCAACTGAAATAACACTTTATTTTGGCGTTGAAACCATATTTCAAAAGGTCCAGATGATTGTAACAGTATCAAAATTTGACAACTCATAGAAAAATAAAAATTATAATATTAATAAGGCTATAGCTGAAAAGCATATGGCACTGCCATTTGATTTATTATAACCCTGTTCTATGATACTATTTCAAAGTTAAGTATAGTTCATCAACCTTGTGATATATTTAGATTATGTCCCTTCCTACTTAATGATCACTTTATAAAGATTCATCAGATAACAAATTCAGTTAAAAAATATTTATTAGGTACATGTATGAAAGAAAAAAAGCCACTAAATTATACACCACAAACACAATATTCAAAAGCAGGCTGAGAACGGTTGGTAAGTGTTTCATGTCAAGTAATTGCGCCTGATCTAGTGTTAAAAATTGAAAGATCAAAGAACTTCACAACTAACATATGTCTTTATGGCTGTACAAGCAAAATTTTCCATCATTTTCCAAGATCTGTCAGGTATTAACTATATTTCCCTGCTTAACATTTCAGGTTTCATCAAGCCTTACAAGATTACATTCAATTTATACTACAATTATCTCAGCCTATATCAAATTTCAATTATATCTTATTGCAAGTTTCAAGTTGAATCAACGTAAATAATTTACATCGGAATCGGATAACCTTAATTCGGATATGGCTTATAGAAAAAATTGATATCATGAAATGTATAACGAGTAATAAATTAGATAGTACCGCAAGCTATCTTAAACTTGGATCAGTATTCTTCAGATACTATTAATCAATCTTGATCAGATAGATGAGGATCACTAAATAATGGATCTCAAATAATGGATCTCACAAAATCTATATCAAATGACATCCTTATGAACCTTTAACTTACTGAACTAATTTCTTTTTACGCGTAAATTCTATTAAGGGTCTAAAAATTTAAATACTTTTGTAAAGCTGTATCGGCCCGGTGTATTGTCTTTAATCAGGTGTTGAAAGTTGAAAGTAATGATTTCAATTGGAAGTTGCAGATTGTATAGAAAGAATGTTTAGAAGCCAATGGCCAATATATTTAATTCAAAGTTGAAGGGTTCACATATCACATATCTTTCAACGTGTTATCTTTGAATGAAATGATTATATTGGTTGTTGCTAATTGATATGTCGATGATATGGTTGCAAATGATTGCGTAAAATTTCTCAACTCCTGAACCCTTAATCAAATTCAAGGGCAGTGTTTAACAACTTCATGAGACGGTTTTAATTTCTGGAAACGACAATTTTGGACAAATAGTACACTGCCAATGACTCCTTGAGCTTAGGCAGAGTAGACGATGTGATAATATTATTCAACCTCTATATAATACCCAACTACAAGTACACAGCTCCTTATATCTTTCAATCTTGATATCTGTAATTGCATTCAACGGCTGTTTTGGGTATATAATTTTGCAACGTTTTCGGGACAAAAAGAAATTCCACGTAATCGCAAATTCAGCCTCCTTTCTCCTCAGAACTTGCCGATAACCCTAGTCAATAACCACTCCATATTCACCAATGTGTACTACTAAACCACCATTAATCAATAACAAAAGCCTATGATTGAAAAGCCAGAGTCTGGGGCATCATAACGGTGGTGATTGTTCTTGGATATCTGGTAAATTGACAAAGGGTCTTCAGGGTTTTTGATACTGTGGGACCGGTCTTGGCAAAAGCTTAGCATTTTTTCATTCTTCCGTTGATCAAATCTGGAATGGGACATAAAGAAAATGGAAAAATAAAGAACCAATCCAAAAGCAAGGAAAAGGAGACAAATGGAATCTATCCAGAGATTCAGGTAGAACTTTGTATACCGGTTGAATCTGGGATAGTGGGTTGTGGTTGCCTTGTGCTTTATGGGTTCATTTGTCCAGAAAAGTACTTGGATATACCTTCTAAATTTAAATAGCGATGTACCGAAAATTAATTACATGTATGACAAATGTCCTGAAAGTTTTTGATGATTCAAATTTGAACCCTGAAATTAGAAATATTGCAACGTATTTAAATAAACTGTTTCGACCTTCTCTTGGCAATTCACTTGACAGCTTTATTCTTGATAAATAACTGATACAAAAGTTGAGAACTATAATATAAAGCATATACACTATAAACATGTCTTTATTAGATGCTAATCTAAGTCGTTTGGACAATCAAAAGAATATTTCTTTACCTCCTATATCTTCCATCATTAAGAGTATAGATCAACAACAGCAACAACAACCTTTACCAAATGTTAACTCAACTTCTCCAAATTCAAGAAATAATACATTATTACAGAATCAAAATCCAACATTCCCTTCATTAGTTACAAATCCATCATATCAAGCACCAGTTATAGTTACAGATAATACAAATTCATATACCTACAACACTTTTAGATCATTATCTCAAGATTCAATTACATCAACTTCCACCCCTTCAATCCCATTACCAATAATTCCAAATCAACAATCTTCAATACCATATACAAATTTACCAATAACTCAAACTTTACAAATACCACAACAAAGATATCATCATGATTCATCATTATCCCCATCAACTCAATCACATTTAACTCCATCACCAACCATATCTAATACATCAATAAATTCATCAACTTCACCAGTTTCAAATACATCTTTATCACAATCATTACCAAATACTACATCCCAGGGTAACAAGAGAAAATATACATGTAGAACATGTACTAAATCATTTACAACATCAGGTCATTTAGCAAGACATTCAAGAATTCATACAGGTGAAAGAAAACATATTTGTCCTCATCCAAATTGTGAATCAAGATTTGCAAGACAAGATAATTGTATGCAACATTATAAAACTCATTTAAATAATAAATTAAAAAGAAGAAAATATACAAAGAAGGTATGATGGATGTTGTTATATATTTATAGTTATGAATTAATGAATGAAATGAAATTACATGTTTTGTAGTTTGAAAAAGAAATGTATATTGAACTTTATTCATTAATACTCATCAAATATTGTTTCAGTTTGAATGGAAGTAAAAAATGTAAAGTTTCATCATGTATATTCAAAAAAATAATGACCATTTGAATTTAATTCAAGTGTAATTAAAATACACATCAATAGATCAAAATCTTTCTTTAGTAATACTCTGAAAAATAGAAATTAAACATTAAACCAAAATAGGCTATGATGAAAGTGCACAATGGCAATTATTCAAATATGGTGATTGTTGACAAGATGCGAATTCTTGATGAATATCTGTAATAGTTAATTATTAATATTTCAATCTCTTAAGTCCTTAGTCAATTCATGAATGAATATACCTTTAGTTTAATATATTTACATACACCATGAAAATTCGAAAGTGTGGTCATTAACGAACTATTAAAACGTTGCTTTATCCAAAACCAGACAACTTCCAGTTGAATCTAAATAATGTTTATATTATAACTTAAAAAATGTAAATTTTTTTTCTTGGGAATATGTTCAGACTCATATTATACAAAAAAAATCGCGCACCAGTATAGAAATATATCAAAGCAGAGGAAGCTACGCATTTAAATGCATTTATATATAAAGATTTTCAATAATTAATGAATTTATTGTTATTTTACAAGTAAAAATAGGTAGTTATAATACTGCTCATGTTTTTAATGGTTGCTTCAAACTGAAGTTATAGGACAAGTTATGAATTGAATATGGTGAATTTCATGTGATCAAGTAGTTCAAAGTTTTAAGGGCAATATCATAAGACCATTAAGTAGATAATAGATATATACATAGGTTCTTCAATGACTTAGATTGATTCGTATTTAATGAATGATATATTTACTCATCACTTACAAGCTAATGTTTTGTAAAAGTTGTTGAAAAGAAAAACGTATATTGAATTTTAATCATTAATACTCATCAAATAATTTTTCAATTTGAATGAAAGTAAGAATGTAAAGACTCCATTTTGTAATAAAAGACCTTTAAATCATTTGATTTCTGTTATAAAAACAATACTTGATAATAGTCTTTAGCTGATTCATTAAGATATCAAAATTAGTGGATATTCTCAAAAAAGATTAAGATATCAAAAGTGGATCTCAAAAAAGCCTACCATCCGGTCACACTTGAAAATACAAATTTCTGGAAATTTACCTCAAGGAATGAAACTCAGTCCTGCCTTGTTTCAACAAACCATCATAGATTTTACTTATCATCAGACGTTTAGTTTATTATAAATGAAATCAACTTTAATTAATTTTTTTTTTTTGCCAGAACCTCAACAACGTCGTTTCACAAATTTAATTCGCGGGTACCTCATAAATAGCAAAATTAGCCAGCTATATATTATTAGATACTAGCCTTGATGAGCAGCTATGATTCAATTAAGAGATGACTATCCTTCTATAATTGGAGTGAAGAAACAATCATTTTACTACTTGAAGGTACGATCATACCACGATTATTTGGGAAAAAAAATGTATATTAAGTTTCAATCATTAATACTCATCAAGTGATCGGTTAACTTGAATGGAAGTAAAAATGTGAAACTAATTAATCAATCCATGATATAATATGGTCCATGATCTAAATAAAACATAAACATTGTTATATGTATATCAATGATCTTTATTAGAATCAGGAATCTTTGTGAGTATTAGTTAACAGTACGTATCAAATCACCATTTTCAAAACGTGAAGATTTATTTCAAAAATTCCAGCGATTATAGTATTCCTGCGGATTTCATCAACATGTACCGATCAACCTTGTATCATTCTGACAAATAACGGGAAAACAGCAGCTGAACAATAATAGAAAACTTAAAAAACAAGTCTTTGAATTCGATGTATTATAGTATGATCCTTTCGAGTACATTGTTATGGAATTTGTGTATAAATTTGAAAAATCTTTCCTCGGGATCAGTGCTCATAACAAACAAGCAAATTCAAAGCTGATTCATTTAATCTAAAGGTGAAGAGGTGTTTAACATGTGAATATTAATTGATGAAACTAATTATATCAATATGGATATTATCTTATTGCGTATCGCTTAACCGAATTATGAATACTGCAACATATTTCATTAATTGTCCATGTGATTCTAATATAAAGAGAACTTCAATGTTGTATATTTGTACAAGTGTACAAGTAGTAAACAATCAATCGATCGAACTATCACGTCTATATTGAATAGTATGTAATTGAATTAGTGCTCCACATGATTGGTCACATCAAGAGTTTTGAAGTTTCACGTTATAAATAATATATTACTTCATACAATATAGTTCTTTGTGAACTACAGATGATTCATCGAAAAAATTGTATATTGAACTTCGACAATCATTAATACTCATCAAATAATATCACAACTTGAATGAAAGTAAAAATGTAAAAGCTTCATTTGGTGAAAACATATCTCATAACCACTTGATTTCTGTTATAAAAACAATATTTGATTATAATCTTCACCATTAATTACCCATCTTAAAAATTTAAAAGTAAAATTGACTTGAAAAAAGCATATCACCAAATGCCACTCTCAGACAAGTAATGCGAGGAGAAAATCAGATTTTGAGTATTCCCACAGGAAATGAAGATATCCCCATCAATATTTTAAAAACACATCAAAGAATTTTATTTCAACGACCATGACGTAGATAGTATATAAATACGTACTAATTGCAGTCTGTTTATAAATGAAAATTGAAATCTTTTTTTCCTTTTTCCGAAACCTACACATTTCGCGGTATCATGTCACGACTCACCCACCAGGTGTACTATATACTAAATAAACTAGCCTAATTCATGAGCTATGATTGAATTAAGAGATGGTTATATTTCTGTAACGATACTGGAGAAAGAACCATTCTACTACTTGAATATTCGAACATAATAACATGATCATTTGGGTGAAAAATGTATATTAAGTTTCAATAATTAATACTCATCAAGTGATTGGTTAACTTGAATGAAAGTAATAATGTTGAAGTTCCTGTAATTTCAATCAATTAGATAATGGCCATTTGGGATCGATTCAAGTAGCTATTTCTAATCTTGCTTTTGAATAACTTTACCTTTTAAACGATACTAAAAACCCATGATTGAAAATCAGCTAATTTGGTCCAGAATTTAAACGTGAAGTTGATTTCATAGGTGGCAGAAAACAGATAACAATCAAGATTACTAAAGCGTACTTTAAAAGAATTAACTCATTTCTTCGAAGTATTCTTGAGCTAATATCCAAACAAAAATGGAAGCAACAAAAATTTCACAAGTATATCACAAATATTCTAATCAAATAATGTATCAATGATTCAGCTATCAGGTCTTTGGCAGTATAAGCTCATTTCCAGAGCATCCGCTCAATCCACAACCAAATGGAAGTAACGAACGTTTGAATAGTACCTTATGAAAATATTTCTGTTGAACAGTAATTAGTTTGGGTGATTTTACTATTTTTTTCTTTCTAGCTGGTGAAAACGAGGTCGTGAAATTTCGCGGATAATTCTATATATAAGTTCTCTAAACTATAATTGATTATCGACGAGTTAGTAAATAAAGCTGTGATCTGTAATATATGATTGTATATTGATTTATGAATATGTATTAATGGTAATATACCATAGACATTTACAAATGATCAACAACTTGAAAGAAAAAATTGTATATTGAAAATTAATCATTAATACTCAACAAATGATGTTTCAACTTGAATGAAAGTAAAAATGTAAAGTTTCATAAGTAATCTATTGATGAATATAATGACCTTTGGACTTGATTTGAGTGTAATGCAAAACACGTTAATATCACCCTTATTTGTAAATACCAATGGCCAAAAGAGTCAAAATAAATCAATGCATTAGTTTCCAAAGGTACAAGTGTAGTCACGGAACGTACTTTCAGTCATGCTAATCAAATAATATGCTTAAAAACATGATATTTTTAAACAAACAAACATATAACAACAACTGCGACTGACGTATGGGCTGTTTGTATGGTAATGATAATTTTATTTATACAAGAAAAAAATTGTTTCATTAGCTTCTCCTTGGAATTGACGAGTTTTTTTTTTTGTTTTTCAAAGTCGACGATCTAGTAACTAGTTCACATTTCGCGAGAATTCTAGATTGTTGATCAAAAAGTTTATAATATGGTATAGTTTCGACATATGAACTAATATTGAGTGTATAGTAAAGATTAATATGTTATTCTTGTTTATTAGCGGGAACAATTGTACTATTTTAAATTCAATGGAGCGTCACATTATGTGTCAATTCATATGATATGGAGTTCTATGCCGGTATATTGAAAAGCTGAACATTCCGGTGAGTAGATATCTGTAGAATTATTTGAACTTTAGGATCCACAGCTTATCCTGTAATCATAATCGAATGAATAGCTGTGTTTAAGATATAAGACTTACAAATCGACCTGGTATACTAGCTTTGTGGAATTTTTAGTTCAAAAAAAATGTATATTTTAATCATTAATGCTCATCAAATTATGTTTCAACTTGAATGAAAGTAAAAATGTAAAATTACATAAGTAATATATTGATAGATATAATGATCTTTGAATTGCAACTGGTTTAAGTGGAATGAAACACCTCATATAATCTCTTTGAATTATAATGGATAACTTTATTGTAATTTGTAAATACGGCCAGTGACCAAAAGAATCAAAAATAAATCAATGCATTAATTGCAAAAGGGAGCTCAGTAAATACGGAGAGGTCGTTCAGTCAAGTGAAACAGATTCTCACTAATAGTAGAAAACACATGTTAGGTACTGAAACTAATTTGAACAAAACAGGACAACTTTTCAAGAAAAAAAAAATATTTTATATTTTTTTCTCCTTTTCACAGATTTCGCGGGCATTATAGTAATAAACAACAGATGTAATATGGTT